TTAAAACATCTAGCAATGTGGAATCCATCACCTTGCATTGAAAGAGCTTGTGCCTCCATCCACCCAATTTTTGAAATTGGCCACAAAGTGAGGTTATGTTACATTTTGTGCTTAGCTTCATCCTGGGAACACCTGCCAGAAGCCCAATGGCATCACTGCTCCACTTTAATTTTATTTATTAAAATTCTTATAGACCACACTTTTTATATATAAACAACAACAACAGAGAGAGAGAGAGCGCGCGTGCAAGGCTGTATACCACATAAACAGTTCCATTCTGATAAACATCCATTAAAAGCATTGATAAATACTAGCCGGTAAAAAGAAATTCTCACATCAAAGGCCACTGAATAACACAATTTTTCAGAGGCAACCGAAAGAAGGCAGGAATGAATCTTGCTGAACCTCCATTGGCAGGCAGTTCCACAAGACAAGGCCCACCATATTAAAAGCTTGGTCCCTTGTAAAGGCTGACTGAACCTCAGGGGCCTGAGGAACCACAAGAATGCCCATCAGAGGATCTTCGTGATCTGCACATCTTTCCATTCAACTGTTTTTCAAGGCACTGGAGGAATTATGTAAAAGAGAGAGCTGTAAGCGGAGATATTTATCCTGGGGCCCATCGGCACTGTACCCATAAAGCAGTATCATGGCTTCCCCCAAAGAATCCTGGGAGCTGTAGTTTGCTGGGTGTGCTGAGAGCTGTTAGGAGCCCCCTATTCCCACCACAGACCAGCCTAAAGTCATTGAGGAGCTGGGAATTTGAGCCCTGGTCTCCACTGCATCCTAGCCTGGCACTCTAACCACTCGGCCGCGTTGGCTTTCAAAACAAGAGCCAGCGCCCGCCCGGTTCTGACCAAATTGCTCTGGCTTATGTAGGATGGATGGATGAAAGGCCTTTGGATGCCAGTGAAAGAGCAGTCGCCATCAGCTTAGGCTTCCGTTGGTATCCGTACTACACCAAAGCAGGTGAGGCTCGCAAGGGGAGAGCCGCGGCGGGAAGACGCCTGGGAAATGGCAGGCAGAGGGTTAAAAGCACCCCGTCCAATAGGCAAAGAGGTGAGCAAAGAGACCGCCTCTAGCACCAACCTGAGATGGGCCTGTGGTGGCTGGCAGGGCGGAAGGGGCGCCCAGAGCAGGCGGAGCCAGTGCCAATGACAGGCGGGGCCGGAGCCAATGGCAGGTGGCTCCGACTGATGGTCCCTCCTCACTGAGTTCTTCAAGGGCCAAAGGGAGGCAGAAGATGAATGGGCAGGGCTGGTTGTACAAAGGCAGGTGGAGGCTGGTGGGAGAGGGCTCCATGCACCCACAATGGGCTGGCTCCACACTTCAACACATCTCAAATTACCCGCATGCTGCAATTGGGCTTGGAAAAAAGGCTTCTATTAGTGAAAGAAAACATATTTGGAGTCTAAGTTTGTAGGGTGGGGCAAAGACAAATGGGACGGCAGACCAGGCACTACTATTAGAATAATGTGTTTGTGGGAGGGGGTTATTGTTTTGTTTTCATTTTTAACTAATTATTTTGTGCTTCTATCCTGTATTTTTATCTTGTGAACCCCTCTGAGATCTTCCAATGAAGCATAGTATAATAATAATAATAATAATAATAATAATAATAATAATAATTAGAATTAGAATTTATATACCACCCTATAAGGGACACGGGTGGCGCTGTGGGTTAAACCACAGAGCCTAGGACTTGCCGATCAGAAGGTCGGCGGTTTGAATCCCCGCGACAGGGTGAGCTCCCGTTTCTCGGTCCCTGCTTCTGCCAACCTAGCAGTTCGAAAGGACATCAAAGTGCAAGTAGATAAATAGGTACCGCTCCGGCAGGAAGGTAAACGGCATTTCCATGCGCTGCTCTGGTTCGCCAGAAGCGGCTTAGTCATGCTGGCCATATGACCAGCTGTATCCCGGCTCCCTCGGCCAGTAAAGCAAGATGACCGCCGCAACCCCAGAGTTGTCTGTGACTGGACCTAATGGTCAGGGGTCCCTTTACATTTACCTTTACCACCCTATAGCCTGAGGTCTCAGGGCGGTTCACAGTACAAAAAACAAAATATAAACCACAAAATATATAATTTCAAATAAAAACAACAAAGCCTTTCCTACTCCCAGGAGGGAAGGGATTGTGAGCGGGAGACGATTCCTGCGTCATGCAGGGGGCGCTCTGCCCCCTGCTTCAACTCCAGGGCTGGCGCCACGCCCCTCCCCAGTTGGGCACCCAATAGGGAAGCTCGGCGGGGGCGTGGCTTGCTGCTCAAACGCAGCCGCGCCAGCCTTCCCCACCATTGCACACACATTTTCTTCAAGTCATAAAACCACAAAATATATAATTAAAATAAAAACAACAACCCAAAACCCCACCCAAAAAACCCCAATAATGAAATAATAATAAATGAACATTTTTTTAAAAAAAAAACTAATACTAATGGCAGGCAGCGGAAAGTTGTGTTATCCAAATGAGTTCTACTCAGTGCTTGGCTGATTGTCCCATAACTTTGGGCTCAGTACCTTTTCGCCCGCCTAAACAAAGCACCACTAAAGCTTCCATTTTGTTAAGTGAGGTTTATTGAGTGGGATTATTGAATTTATGTATCGCTTCCCATTACCAAAAATAAATAAAACCCACCCAACTCCCAAAGCGATTTTCAAGCAAGTAAAGAATGCGGTCATAAAATCACACGGACGTATTAAAAACAGATTTAGCAGTACAGTCATATCAGTGATGCTGCCGAGATGCCCAGGAAAACAAAACAAAATCTTCTTGGGCTGGCTCATAAATAATGACAAGGTTGGAGCCAGGCGTACCTCCTGCCCAAGCAATGGCATTTTAATCTTGGAAATCCATCTGAGGCTTAAGACAGCTGCTTATTGGATTTGCAGATTATGGTAGAAATGAATATCTAACTATTAACTATGAGAAGTCAAAGGTTTCCAAATGGACAGCAAGTATTCCTGGACTGTGAATGTCCACAGACTAGACCAAGCCAGTTTTTATGACTCTCAGGTAGAAAAGGACAAAAGTGTCAATTTCAGTTGCCATATTCCTTTTTCAAAAAATGATCCCCACGGAAATTTATCAGTGTACATTCCCCTTAATATACACAGTTCTCTATTCAATTTTGCCTGATATGTCTGTCTTTCTCTTTTTTGCAAGCAATTTCCCTAATATAATACATTTTTGTTTGTTTTCACTCATAATTGCATTCTTATGGACACCTTTCCTCAATACATAAATTTTTGGTCCACATTTTGTGGCTGGAGAACTGCCTTGCAGAAATTCAGGAAAGTGTGGTTATGAACTAGATGGACCGATTGTCCGAATTTGCCGAAGTGCAAATTAGGTAAAGGTAAAAGTAAAGGGACCCCTGACCATTAGGTCCAGTCGTGGCCGACTCTGGGGTTGCGGCGCTCATCTCACTTTACTGGCCGAGGGAGCCGGCGTACAGCTTCCAGGTCATGGCCAGCATGACTAAGCCGTTTCTGGAGAACCAGAGCAGCGCACGGAAACGCCGTTTACCTTCCCACCATTGTGGTACCTATTCATCTACTTGCACTTTGATGTGCTTTCAAAGTGCTTGGTTGGCAGGAGCAGGGACCAAGCAATGGGAGCTCACCCTGTCGCAGGGATTCGAACCACCGACCTTCTGATCGGCAAGTCCTAGGCTCTGTGGTTTAACATACAGCGCTACCCGCGTCCCTGCAAATTAGGTAGGGTGGTGTTAAAATGCAAACCAAACTGAATTACTCCCCACCACCACCACCACCTCTGATCTCGGGCTGCACTTCATGAACAGACCGAGTGGAAAGTGCAGGATAATTGCAAAAGTTAAAGCAGAACCTTCAATGGGTGCATAGCTTAGTGGCAGAGATTTGCATTCAAGACGCCCCAGGTTCAATACTTAAAAGCATCTCCATGTAGGTCTGGGATTGTCCCCTGCCTGAAACCCTGGAGAGCTGCTGCCGGTCAGTGTAGACAATACTGAGCTCGATGGACCAATGGTAAAAAGCGGCTTCCTTTGTTCCTAGGGGAAAGTTGTGACCCAGATTTTCTTTCGAGCCTCAACCTGGTTTCCAGGACTTAGCAAAGAATTCTGTCCTCCTTTCTCTGAACTTTATTGAATCCACCCACTCGCGTTTCTGGTGCTGCCCTCGATTTGGAAGCTGGCCGTGTCTCATTAAAAAACTTGGCTTGGGCGCCTCCTGTTCATTACTGGCAGCAAATTGGGCGCTCTGCCTCTCGAAATGCTCTGGCAGATCAGGTGCTGGTCGACTCAAAGAGTGAGCTAATGGGCAAAAAAGGTGTGCGGTCCCTTTCTCTCTCTGAAAGCAAGCTCTTCTCTTAGTGGCAGGGCCACGGCTCAGTTGAGGAGCATGCAGAAGGTCTCGGGTTCAATCCCCGGCCTCTCCAGGTACAGCCGGGAGGGAACTTTATCTGAAACCCTAGAAAGCCACTGTCAGTCAGTGTAGACAATCATAAACTAGATGGACCAATAGTTTCACTCTACATTATCCAGCTTCCTACATCTTAAGGGAAGAGCATTAGTTCACTTGCTTTGCATGCAGAATGTTTTTTTCCAAAAATAAAAACAGAGATTGAATAGCCCTCTGTCAGGGATTCTTTTGCTGTGTTCCGTGCCTTGCGGGGGGTTGGTCTAGATGGCCCTTGGGGTCCCTTCCTGCTCTACAGCTAATTCTATGGTGCTTTAAATAGACAGGGTGGCTGTGGCTGTGCTGAAGAAACAGTAATGTAGCCACCACGGACGAAACGTTGATTTGAAGCAATTCCAAATTAAAAGGCACAAAATATGAATGACCACGAAGAGCCCACTGCCATGTCCCTCAGAATCCTCCTCCAGAATTTAGAAGGCAAAAGTTGGGGGAGATGGGTCTTTTCGCAAAACCATTTATCTTTGAGTCTTGTGGTCAGTATTGGTGTTATTAGTATTGGTTCAGGGCCCAATGGCTTTTTCTCTCCTCCTCTTCCTCTGCAGATTCCAAGTGTGTCGCAAGTACAAGGGAGAAATTCATGAGCATGTTTGAAAGCCAAACTGAGAAAGACTTGCAGCCAGAGAAGCAAAGCAGTAGGCACCCTCTTGCTTCCCCCAATGTGCCCTCCCTGCCCCACTCCTCCCCGACCCACACTGTCCCCAAACCCAGACCCATATCTGGCTGCCTGCATGTGTAAAGCGAAGCTGGCGTTGCTCTCACAAAGGACTCCAGCATGAGAGTGGAAGGCCTTCAAAGAGGCAATGGCCAATTAGTTCCGACCTGACGGAGCCGACTCTCATCCTGGGTGGGTGTTGCACAGTTGCAACGACCCCCTCCCCAAATTAATTGGCACGATGCTACACCCTGGTCTCTGGAGAGCAGACTCTGCCTTCCTTGAACGCTTTGTGAACTTTGAACAGCTCAGCGGAGACCTGTGAACACGGGCATCAAAGCAAGCGTATCTGTGGGGAAAGGGTCTCTTCTGGCAGGGAGCACATACAGTACTTTTTGCTCCATATGACGCACTTTTTACTCCTAAAAAGTAGGGGAAATGTCTGTGCGTCTTATGGGGCAAATGCGTGGTCCCTGGAGCCAAATTGCTTGGGACGAAAAACAGATTGTGCTTTTTTTTTTAAAAAAAAAGAAAGACGGAAGGGGGTGTTGAAACGAAGTCGCTGAGCAGCTGATCGGCAAGAGATTGGGTGGGAGATAAGGCTGCGAGTAAAGGAGGCTGCCGGGGTGGGGGTGGGGTGGGGGAGTAAAGACAGTGAACTTGCAAGGAGAGGAGGCAGGAATACTAAAACAAGCAATGAGAGAAATTAGAAAAAAAGGAGGACGCTAAGGGAAAGAAGAGGGAAAGGGGTGTTGAAAGGAAGCCACTGAGTAGCTGATCGGCAAGCGATCAGGAGGGAGATAAGGGATGCTAGCGATAAAGTAGGCTGCCTGGGAGGGGGATGTAAAAGCACATGGATCCTCAGGATTTTTGCATTGGGTCACCCCAAATTCACCATCAGATCACATAGCATGTCCATGGCTACAGCCTGCACCAAAAAACCCACACATCCACTGTTTCGTGGGACCACAATGGTGCAAAAACGTGGTTACAAAGCACGGATCCACATGGATTTTCAGGATTTTTGCATTGGGCTACCCCAAACTCACCATCAAATCACATATCATGTCTGTGGCCACAGCATGAACCACAAAAATCGCACATCCACGGTTTCATTCAGAATATTTTTTTCCTTGTTTTCCTCCTCTTAAAACTAGGTGCGTCTTATGGTCAGGTACGTCTTATGGAGCGAAAAATACGGTACTTTAGAGCAGGGTTGGCAACCCCGCAGATCACACCAGGCCCATCAAGCTTTCGGTGGCCCACCCACAACTGCTGGAGGCAGGAGGCCCCTGAATCCCAGTTGCTGGGAATCACCAGCGGGGAGTCTTGTGCTCAGGACCAGATTTCGGGCTTCCCATAAGGAGCATCTGGTTGGCCACTGTGAGAACAGGATGCTGGCCCGATCCTGCCAGGTCCTTCTGAGGGTTGTATGCATGACAGCGAGGGTGGGCTGTTGCCTTCATGCCCTGCCTGTGGAGCCAGCTGACTCCCCCATGCTTTTCTCTCTTGGTTCCAGGCAATTCCAACTTAGCCGAAGGGGAGCCGGCAAACGAAACCAAACCCAAAGGGCAGAAAAGCGTTCCCAAAGCATCGCCCCGAATGAATCACCCAGAGGAGAAGAAGCCAGAGGAGCCCCCCAACCTGGGGCCTTTTTATTATATTGGAGGAGCAAATGGAATCGATATGTAAGGACGCCTGCAGACAGAATTGCCCCTGGATCATGGGTGCTTCTTCCTGTGGCTCCCCAGAGTCTTGTATTTCCTTATTTACAGCATTTCTATGCTACCCTTTAGTCCTCAGGGCCTCTGGCTCACAGTGTAAAACAGACACAGCACACAAGGAAAGAGGAAGAGGAGGGAGGAGGGAGAAGCAACCTCTTCAACTTGGTGATTGAAGTCACAAGTGATGTCAGTCCTGGCTGTCTCCCTATTGGTTATCCTGGGGAATGGCTCTCCTGATGTTCTTATGAGTGAAGGAGGGCTGATGCCTTCATGCCCAGCTTCCTGCAGCCATCAGATGATTGGCCCCTGTGAAATCAGGAGGCTAGACTAGATGGGCCTTTGGCCTGATCCAGTAGCCAGACTCTTCTGATGGTGAAGGCAAGGGCTGCTACTGTTCTTTATTTAAAAACAACAAGTTGCTGGACCTCATTGTTTTGTCTCCTTCCTCTGAGCAGACTGAACACCTTCTGCAAGAACAAAGGCTGGCAGCGTATCTATGACAACCGGAGGGATGATTACATCCTGAAATGGTGTGAGACTAAATGCCGGGACACCTATTTCAACTTCAGAGAAGGTAAGGAGGCCTGGGGGAGCCACCACCAAAAAGACCTTTTCCCTAGTGGTTTTAGGGCAGGGGAGTGGAGATCCTGAGGCTTGGCAGATGTTGCTGAACCTCCATCAACCACAGCCAGCAGGGCGAGTGGTCAGGGATGATTTTCAAACCCATTGAAATCAATGGACATGACTAACTGAGGTCCATTCATTTCAGTGGGTCTACTGACTATCATTAGCTACAGCTTGATGGGTGCTGTTCTGCACAGAATCATAGAGTTGGAATGGAACCATGAGCATCATAAGAGTCTAACTCCCTACAATGCAGAAACACTGATGAGCATTCCCATTCAAAGCGAGACGCGAGTGGCGCTGTGGGTTAAACCACAGAGCCTAGGACTTGCCAATCAGAAGATCGGTGGTTTAAATCCCCGTGACGGGGTGAGCTCCCATTGCTCGGTCCCTGCTCCTGCCAACCTAGCAGTTCAAAAGCACATCAAAGTGCAAGTAGATGAATAGGTACTGCTCCGGTGGGAAGGTAAACGGCGTTTCCGTGCGCTGCTCTGGTTCACCAGAAGCGGCTTAGTCATGCTGGCCACATGACCCGGAAGCTCCCTCAGCCAATAAAGTGAGATGAGCGCCACAACCCCAGAGTTGGTCACGACTGGACCTAATGGTCAGGGGTCCTTTTACCTTTATTCCCATTCAAATGTTGTGTGTGCACCATGTCATGTGATCGAATATGTGGGGCGGGGCTTACCTGGCCCCCACAATATTTTATTCTTCTTGGCACCCCTGCAGTCCAGCAGCAGCTGGTGTCAGTTGGCTCCCTGCACCCTTGTGAGAGCCAGTGTGGTGTAGTGGTTAAGAGCGGTAGTCACGTAATCTGGGTAACCGGGTTCGATTCCCTGCTCCTCCACATGCAGCTGCTGGATGACCTTGGGCCAGTCACACTTCTCTGAAGTCTCTTAGCCCCACTCACCTCACAGAGTGTTTGTTGTGGGGGAGGAAGGGAAAGGAGATTGTTAGCCGCTTTGAGACTCCTGAAGGGGAGTGAAAGGCGGGATATCAAATCCAAACTCCTCTTCTTCTTCTTCTTTGTGGTTGGGCTTGGCCCAAAGGTTATCAATAAAGGATGTGTTGCGTGTGAGAGAGGTTGACCCAGCCTTCATGCTCCACCTTGGCTCTCGCTATTCCTCCCTTTGCAGGAGAACAGCTCCTTTACCAGATCTCTAACAATAAGATCCTCACTACGAAGATCGGCCTTTTGATGAACTTGAGGGAGTATGAACGGGTGATGAAGAAGATCAGCAGGACCACAAAGTGAGCCCTAAACTCTGAAGCACATCCTCCCTGCGCCTTATATTGTTCAAGAGGAAAGGGTCTTGAGCTCAGAGGGGCCAGAGGTGGCCCTCTAGCCCTCTCTGATCTGGACCTTGGGATGTTCCACAGGCCACGCCTTCCTCTCGCCAAACCACGCCTCTCCCTGGACCTGCTTCACAACCTCCTTGAGTGTTTTTGCCTGGCTGGAATTTGTCCTCGAACCCACATAATGCTTCTTTCTCAGCTGGTTGAAGGATAGAGAAGGGTGTTGGTGTGCATGTGTAGCCTACCATACAAAGATAACATTCACATGGCTTGCTCCACTCATTTTTCATCTGACTCTGCCCACCACTGTAATGCGGCCCCCAGAATCTTGCCCAGAAAGGACTGTGGCCCTTGGGCAGATGAGGGGCATGTAGAGGGGGCAGCAGAGTGGCATTTATCATTGGGCATAAAAAGGAAGATGACTTGATTGTATTAGGGGTTTTTTGGGGGGGTGTATTCCTTTAACAGCTCCCTTTTGGTGCCAAAACTATTCACTGGGGAGCATATGGTGCAGCTGTAGTGAATTATTAAGTGTGGCAAAAGCAAACATCACAACATTATGCAAAAGAAGGTGAAAATATGCATAGAATTTGCAAAAATGACGCAGGCTGTAAAATCCTCTCTTGCTTCTTGGTAGCTGCATTCCCAGTAATGGGTGATGTTTGCTTTAGGAGGCCAGGAGGTGCCTCAGGGACAAAGTTTAGTAAAAAAAACATTAACTATGGGAAGTAGCTATAATCTAACTGCCTCTCCCACGCACCCTGCAAAAAACATCCCCCAGCCGTAGCCAGATTTCCAGAAACAGAATGTAGTCTGTGCCAACATTCAAAACCTCAAATCCAGATGCCAGCGTGTGACAGGGTTTCAAATCTGGAGCTATTTGGCTTTGTGACATCATTGTGTTCACTGATTGGTTGGGATCACATCATGAGGAATCATGTGACACACAGCTGAGGGTATGGAGGTCTATGAACTGCCTTGGCTGAAGAGGAAAGTTGTCCAATTTCCACACTGGTGGGGGGGGGCATGTCAGCAGTGGGGCTGCCTGGCAAACACGCCCCCTAAAAATATGGACCCAGTGTTTGGACAGTGTTGTGGCAGGGTGTGTGGAATAAACTGGATCCAGTTTTCATTTAAAAGCAAACCTATTTATATTATTTTTATTAATTAAATTTATATACTGCCCTTTGTCCGAGGCTCACAGGCCAGTTTGCAGTATATCTATTAAAAATACAGAACGTAATAAAAAGCAAAACAACACTTTCAGAAGCGATACGGAAACCAAAACACATCTATGTTTCGAAGTGTGCCCTGAATTTTGCAGTGCAGCTCTCAACCCAAGAAATGTGTGCAAAAAGTGCACAGACTAGGGTAAAGCATGCATTTGATTGCAGACGCAGGTGGCGCTGTGGGTTAAACCACAGAGCCTAGGGCTTGCCGATCAGAAGGTCGGCGGTTCGAATCCCCATGACGGGGTGAGCTCCCTTTGCTCAGTCCCTGCTGCTGCCAACTTAGCAGTTCGAAAGCACGTCAAAGTGCAAGTAGATAAATAGGTACCGCTCCGGCGGGAAGGTAAATGGTGTTTCCGTGCGCTGCTCTGGTTCTCCAGAAGCGGCTTAGTCATGCTGGCCACATGACCTGGAAGCTGTACGCCGGCTCCCTCGGCCAATAAAGCGAGATGAGCGCCGCAACCCCAGAGTCGGTCGCAACTGGACCTAACAGTCAGGGGTCCCTTTACCTTTTTATTTCTGCCAAGACCATACAAAAAAAATGCATTGTGTTAGGGGAAATGGCTCTGTGGAAATGTGTACATCAGGCAGAATTGCATACAAATGAGAGCGTATTAGGAGAAATTCGCCGGTGGGTTTTCAAGAGGGCTTTTAAGGTAACTAAACAAATTACAAACAGGTGTGGAAATGTGGAGAACTGGACAGAATATTGGGAAAAGGAGAAACCCAAACTGAGAGGTTGTTCGCCCATCCTTAGTTGGAGAGGGGCAGATCCCTTCATGAGGAGCATGCAAGTTCCAACCCCTTCTTCTTGTCCTGGGCTTTTGCAGGGTTTTGAGAATGGAGGACTTTTTCCCTGAGACTTTCCGCCTGGATACCAAGGACGAGAGAGAGAGATTCTTTGAAATATATGAAGGTGAATGTCAGGAGCTTCAGAGCTAAATCACATCCTCCCAAGCGGAAATAAATTCATTTCACAATTTTCCTATCCTGCCAAACTCCTGCTTAGCTCAGGCACTGTCTGGTTTTGGATCAGAATTGGGCTGTGGCTGTAGATTCCAGACAAAAGAAACTATTCTCAATTGAGATAGTTGGAATTCCTTTTCTTTTATTGCTGTGTTTATCTCCCACCTTTTCTCCAGAGAGCTCAAGGTGGCAGACATGGTTCTCTGCCTCCCCATTATATTCCCACAGGTCCACAGGCCAAATCAGAGCAGCCAGCCAGTATTGCCTGCACTGACTGGCAGTAGCTCTCCAAGACTTTCAGGAAGGGGACATCCTCCATCCTACCTGGAGATGTCCTTGGGGATTGAACCTGGGACCTTCTGCATGTGAGACAGGTGGTCCGCCACTGAGCTACAACCCAGGAGGCCATGATGGGCCAGATAGACCCATCAGGCACCTGCCTGTGTTTTTCCTCTTCTCCGCAGAGCCTCAGATCTGGATCTGCAAGCCCACCAGCTCAAACCAAGGCCGAGGGATCTTCCTCCTCAAAAACCAATCCGAGGTCAACAGCTTGCAAGCTAAGCTCCTCAGCATCGAGGAAGATCCTATGTACAAGAAACTGCCTTACAAAATTCCACCGGCGAGGATCGTTCAAAGGTAGAGAACGCAATGATGTGGAGTGTTAAGTTGTGGGCGAACATATCAGACGACACAGCGATTCTTCCAAAGCAGCTCTTTATTTGTAAGCTGGAACAGAACTGAACTGAGGAGCTCAGTCAGCCTGCTTATATAGAGCTCCACTAGAATGCAACAGTAACCATTTTCTGTAACTAGCCAATCACTGAATGTCACTTTGAATCCTTCATTTGCATACAAACTATCCAATCACTGAACGTCACTTTCGATCCTTCATTTGCATAACTATCTACAGTATCCCCCTGCTGGCCCAGGGTGAGAACTTCAGTACATAACATGGAGGTTCTGCTAACCCACTGCCCCAAGTTTCCAGCTGGCTGGTGAAAGGTGTTGCTGGATGGTCTTTGGGGAACTTAACTGGTGCGCTTGAGGTGAAGGAAGCCTGGGATCTCAGGTGGGCTGGGGAAATTGCCTTCTTGGGCCGTCATCTTGCAGAAATGCGAGCTCCTGGAATGCAACCAGTACGACAGGAACAGGCAACTTTTTTCACCCCCAGGGTCTGCATCTCTTACTAGGCTACCTTCCAGGGGCCACAGGCCAGTAGTGGGTGGGGCCAGTGGCAAAAGTGGGAGGAGCAACTGCTGCAAATCTTAACCTTTGCACAGTGTGCTGCTTCCTGAACACAGTCCCCGGCACTCTTCTCAACCCTCCATCCAGGAAAGCAAGCGATGCTGTCGAGTTCCGTGACACATCCCAGCCATTCTGGAGGATGTGAAGCTGGGCTGGAGAGGGGTGTGGCCTGGTGCCAGGGGGTGTGGCCTAGTGAGAATCCCAAGAGCCATTTGGCACCTCTTCTGCGTCTGAGCATCCCTTTCCCCCCATTATGGGCTGCAAAAGCCGGGGACTTGCATCAAACTCCCTGTTAAACACCCCGCTACCAGGGGAAAAATAGCAGAGTGTGGCATCCTGGAGGCCTCCTGTTCTAGATTCCATTCTAGCACCTAGAATTCCTGTTCTAGATTCCATTCTAGCATCTAGAATTCCTGTTATAGATTCCATTCTAGCACCTAGAATTCCTGTTCTAGATTCCATTCTAGCACCTAGAATTCCTGTTCTAGATTCCATTCTAGCATCTAGAATTCCTGTTCTAGATTCCATTCCAGCATCTAGAATTCCTGTTCTAGATTCCATTCCATTTATGGCTCCTCCAAACATTCAATCGGCATTGCACAGCCACTGAGCTTACTCAGTCTTCACTGAGTTTTTTTGCAATGTGTGTGTCAAAAAAACCATTAAGTTCCCTTCCCCCAAATGCTTTTGTACTTGTGCAAATTTCAGAGATCTGAACAGAAGGTGTTAACAAAGTGCCATCCCGTTTTCTGCGATTGCACGGGATTCTGCGTTTTGCGTAAGAGCAACTGCGGAAAGTCTTAGCGGGTGGGTAAAGGTAAAGGGTAAAGGGACCCCTGACCATTAGGTCCAGTTGCGACCGACTCTGGGGTTGCGGCGCTCATCTCGCTTTATTGGCCGAGGGTACAGCTTCCGGGCCATGTGGCCAGCATGACTAAGCTGCTTCTGGCGAACCAGAGCAGCGCATGGAAACGCCATTTACCTTCCCGCCGGAGTGGTACCTATTTATATACTTGCACTTTGACGTGCTTTTGAACTGCTAGGTTGACAGGAGCAGGGACTGAGCAACAGGAGCTCACCCCGTCGCGGGGATTCGAACTGCCGACCTTCTGATTGGCAAGTCCTACGCTCAGTGGTTTAACCCACAGCGCCACCCACGTACATTGGGCCAACAGCAGGATATCCACCCCCTCCTTATTCCTTTTATTTCTCCTGGCATATAGAGCTCGAGCGTTCCTGGTCTAAGGACTTCCTGTCGTTTGTATGATCAGAGTCCTTTTCCTTAGTCGGCCTAGTTTCATTTCCAATACCTTTCTCTCTCTTCTTAAAGTTTCGTGTCATCGGCACAGACAGATCATTAGCATTTTAACAGGTGGTGAAGAGAGAGAGAAAGAAAGAGAGACAGATCAGAGATTATTTCTGTCTGGGCATCTAAGGAGAGCTTCAAAGGGGGAAATGCACGCCAAAGACTTTGCATTGTGTGAGCTGAATGAGTCTCTAATGCTATATACCAAAGCTGTTAGAGAGCTGAGCAGCTGCACTCACCTGCCCTCGCCCCTCCCCGTCTAACTGGCTTCCTACAGAAGTGGAAATGCAAAAATTCATACACACACACGCGCGTACACACGCACACACACACACACACATGGCCAGATTTAGGTTTGATGAGCCCTAAGCTACTGAAGGTAATGGGGCCCTTTATATGTCCAGCTGTCTTTTGTCAACAACAAATTGTCGCTGTTATTTGTGTTGAATATATATGCTATATGGTAATTTATGGACCTAATAGGTATCTAAAGCCATCTGCACATAACAACATATGTATTTTATCAAAGTAAATGTTGAGCTGAAATACAATTAAGAAGAAGTATATTAATAGTGAAATACAATTAAGAAGAAGTATATTAATAGTGAAATACAATTAAGAAGTATATTAATAGTGAAATACAATTAAGAAGAAGTATATTAATAGTGAAATAATTATTAAGCTGTAGGTTTTATTTTATTTGCTTTTTATCTTATATTTTGGAAATGTAGATCCAGTTTTCCCCTCTTTAATTTTTTTGAGGGCCACCAAAAGAGTGGGGCCCTAAGTTATAGCTTGTTTAGCTTATACCTAAATCTGGCACTACACACACACACACACACACACACACACACACACTGCCTCAGGCCAGGGTAATCAAATCAAACAAACATGAGATCAGCTAATGCCCACTTTCAACATCAGCTAATGTCCACTTTCCTTGCAAGCATGACAATTGCACGGCTAGTTTAATCAGTCCACTTACGACTATCAAAAACAATTCAAGCAGTATTTGAAAAACAGAAGCATTGTGTGCTGTCCACAGGGCTGGGAGGTCTATTCTGTTTTCTCTAGTTATTCTCTGCCAATCTTACAAATCTAGAAAGCCTTTATTGGATATACAAGCATAAAGGATCATAATACCCACTTCCTGTCCTCTATATATTCTAGAGCAGTAGTTCCCAAACTTTTTCGGGTCACCGCCCCCTTGGTTCCACGAACTCATCCCTCGTGCCCCCAACCCAACCTTTATTATTCATTATGGTGGTTCACACAATCCAGGAAGGAAGAATAATAATACAGTGGTACCTCTGGTTATGAACTTAATTCATTCCGGAGGTCTGTTCTTAACCTGAAACGGTTCTTAACCTGAAGCACCACCTTAGCTAATGGGCCTCCCACTCCCGCCACATCGCCACTGTGCAATTTCTGTTCTCATCCTGAGGTAAAGTTCTTAACCCGAGGTACTGCTTCTGGGTTAACGGAGTCTGTAACCCAAAGTGTTTGTAACTGTTGGTACCACTGTAATGCAATGCGGTTTGAAACAGTAACCATTAGCTGCACATGCATTCAAAAATCCAATTAGTTTAATTAATTCAACCAAACGGATGAACTTTGAAACCCACCCACCCCACCCCAGGTTATCCCACTACCTCTTTTGGGAATCTGTGTTCTAGACTACGGACCTTTTGAGTTATCTTTTCACCCCGAAACCCTGGAAAGAAGAATTTTGCATGGAACCCCCCCCATAAAGAAACTGTAACGGAGGAAGGAAATATTAAGATAATGAGGATGCATAGTTATCGAGCTGTCTTGTGCCTGCTGTGTTAATAAGTTACCCTTTCCATGCGCTTTCTTTGATTTATTTTGAAATTTATATTTATAATAATAATAATAATAACAATAATAATAATAATAAATAATAAATAGATTAGAACATAAAAAATAAAATAAGCAGATTGGCATGAACGAGACTTGAAGAGCCTCAGAAGCTCAGGTGCCACAGAGATGCATATCCTCCCGGTTTCTCAGGTATATTGATAAGCCACTGCTCTTAGAGGGGAAGAAGTTTGATGTTCGCTCATACCTCCTCATCGCCTGCACATGCCCCTTCATGCTCTTCTTTGGCCACGGCTACGTCCGCCTCACATGCCTCAACTACGACCCCAAGTCGGAAGACCTCACTTCTCATCTGACCAATCAGGTGAGGGGGGAGAGAGGGGCGGGATTTGGGTGGGAGGCAGGATTCTGTGGACCAGGAAATAGTTGGGCCTTCTCTCAAACGTGGAGCGTTGTGTTAAAACAGGCATCGTACCAAAACAATATGCAAACCAAGGCCAGGCATTCTTTGAAATTCGCACTGCTCTGAATGTTGCGATCTGGTTCTGAAAGTGTGGGGAAAGTGTGTAAGAACGCGATCTTTGAATGTGGCAGCATGTAGCCGTTGGAACTCCCTGCCTGTTGATACCAGGCAGGCCCCTTCACTGCCCTCTTTTTGGTGCCTTCTAAAAACCTTTATTGTTTGGGCATGCCTATCCAGACGTTTAGAAAGTTGATGCGAGTTTTAATCTGCTTTTAGTCTACTGCATTTTAGCCTTTTAGAAGTCTGTTTGTTTTCACTTCATTTTCTTTTTTCTTTTGCAAAACTGCTTTGAGGTGGTTGTTGCCTGTTTTGCAAATCAGGCGCCGTGTGGGTTTTATGAAATAAATAAATAAGGCATTTATCGGTAAAATTAACATGCTTCCAAAGGCAATATATTAAGGGAAATTGCCTCCAAAAAGAAAATGAATGGTAGGCAAAATGAGATGTTAAATTAGGGGGAAATGTAGACTAAAATGCTGGTGAGTTTCCATGAGAACTTTCTTTTTTTAAAAGAAGAAGAAGATATTTGCAAATCAATGCGGGAAGGTGAAGAACTACCGTATTTTTCGCTCCATAGGGCGCACCAGACAATAGGGCACACCTAGTTTTTAGGGGGGGAAATAAAGGGGGGGAAAATTATTCCCCCCCCGGTCCAGGAGCAGTGGCAAGATTGCGCGCAACCTCGCCGCCACTCCCGGAGCTTGCGGGGCTAGGGACGGGGGAAGCTCGGGCTTCCCCCGACCCCAGCCCCCAGAACAGGCAGCTATCCGCAAGCCTTCCGAGCGCAGCGGGAACTCCTGCCACGCTCCGAAGGCTTGCGGATGGCTGCCTGAAGCCCGGTGAGCGCAGCGGGAGTTGGCGCAGCGCTCGCCGGGCTTCAGGCTGCAGGCTGCTATCCGCAAGCCTTTGGAGCGCTCCAAAGGTTTGCGGATAGCTGCCTGAAGCCTGGAGAGTGAGATCCCCAGGCTTCAGCGAAAGCCTGCATTCGCTCCATAGGACGTACACACATTTCCCCTTCATTTTTGGAGGGGAAAAAGTGCGTCCTATAGAGCAAAAAATACGGTAATCTTTAGATCGCAAAAAGCGGGAAATTGAGGAAAACTGAAATTGAAAGATTTGCCCATCCCTAAGCCTAGCCCTCAAAAACAGCAGGTGCTAAATTTAAGTAGCTGGGCCAAGGTCATGAAAATATATGACGATACCTGCGGCCTGCAATACATTGTTTGAATCTGTCAGCCTCAAGCCAGCATCACTTTTGCTCAGGGGTGATAGGAGTTGGAGTTCAACAGGGGCAGGATCTGTAAGACCTGACTTTTATTCCTACAGAGGCGCTTCTAGGTTTTATTTGCTGTCCCTGTTGTGACTGGTTTTGTGGTTTGTAAGTCACTTGGGGCCATTTGAGTGAGGAGGCAGCTGATTAATACTAATTATTACCATTATTAACAGCAGCAACAATGTCCAGAGAGCCACAGGTTCCCCACAACCCATGCCATAAACAACACCTACCCCCTCGACCATCTAGATTTCTATGTGCAGGGAAGGCTGGCAAATTCATCCATCTCCCTTCGAGGGCTCGGGTGAGATGAGAGAGATTTAATTTAAATGTGGCGTTTTTGTAAGCCATCCAGGTAACATTTTGCAAACCGCTTTGAGGTGTTGATTTGAGAGCAGGGGTTTACGATTAAGCGGCATATAGATGTTTTGAAATAATTCATAAATAGTTTTCTGAGGCCTCTTGAGCAAGAGGCATGATCACAGCAAGGCCTGAAATGGGGCTTTTTTATTCTAAGGCCCCCCATTTGCTATCAAATACGTCACACTCGCCCAAGAGGAGAAACACAGACAGGAATTGATTTCTCTTCTCGCTCTGAGGACGGGCACCAGAAAATAAGGGCCATCCATCCCTGGTAAACAGGGACAGCTGGAGCATATGTTATTCCTGCCAGCCCAGCCCACTTGGTATCGCCTTCCTGCAGCTTAATGGCTTTGGCAAGATGGGCGCCTTGTGTGTGGGTTTTTTTGGTTTTTTTTGCCTTGAACAGAGCTGTTTGCTCAGCTTGGGATTTGGAGAGCTGCGGTGCCACGCTGGCTCCGGAGAGACCCCGCTGCCACAAAGGACATGAAATGAGGGCCAGGTGTTGTTATTCAAAAGAGTACCTGCAAATCTCATCGGCGGGGGGTGGGGTGGGGAGGAGGCCAGGAAATTCATGGCAGAGCAGGTGGCGGCGGCGGCACAGAAATCTGCCTCTCCGCCCCCAATTGTGTCCCGCCTGAGTGGGTGGGAGCGAGGAGGGAATGGTTTGAATTTTCATATTTAAGAAGCAGGGATCTGCCAGGTGGGTGGAATCAAAGGGGAGAGACCTGGAGGCTCCCCCTGTTGCTGCCCCTTCGCTGAGAAATGTGTAAACAGAAGGTCCGTGGAAGACTTACCCCTTTGCTTTCTGGAAAACTGCCCGTTTGATTGAGGTTCCTAGATTTGTGTCCGCACGCCTTTTATTTTATGGACAATATTTGCATGTGCACCCAATAACAAAAAAACTTCTCTTTGCAGCTTGAAACAAGAACATAGTAATATAGTTGTAAACAGTAAATCATAATGCATCATGGAACATCCCGTATGAATTTGCCCAGTCTGTCATTACCTGTTTGGGGAATTAATTTCTCTGTTTAGTTCTGGGCCACATGAAGAAGACCTTCCTTTTTTTATATAATAATATTTATTAAAATTTCAAACAAAATTACAAAAAAAAAAACCAACAAAAAAAATAAATCAGTATTTCCATATCTTATCTTTCGTTCACTTGTTTCCCGGACCTCCTCACACCTCCCTTTTTTGCATCCCAAATCAGTTAATTAATTCAGCAAATCCTTTCCCTCTTTGTTCTTATCTTGATCCTTTTTCTTAGTATATTTTTACTTCAAATTCCCATCTATTAACAATCCATTTTTATTAACCCTTAATAACATTGCTGCTAAAACCACTTAACTTCATTCCAACATCATTCTAACATTCATTAATTTTGCAATATTTCTGTAAATAGTCTTTAAATTTCTTCCAATCTTCTTCCACCAACTCTTCTCCCTGGTCTCGGATCCTGCCAGTCATCTCCGCCAGTTCCATATAGTCCATCACCTTCATCTGCCATTCTTCCAGTGTGGGTAGATCTTGAGTCTTCCAATACTTTGCAATAAGTATTCTCGCTGCTGTTGTAGCATACATAAAGAAAGTTCTATCCTTCTTTGGCACCAATTGGCCGACAATGCCCAGGAGAAAGGCCTCTGGTTTCTTCAGGAAGGTATATTTAAATACCTTTTTCATTTCATTATATATCATCTCCCAGAAAGCCTTAATCCTTGGGCACGTCCACCAAAGGTGAAAGAATGTACCTTCAGTTTCTTTACATTTCCAACATTTATTATCGGGCAAATGATAGATTTTTGCAAGCTTGACTGGTGTCATGTACCACCTGTATATCATTTTCATAATATTCTCTCTTAAGGCATTACATGCCGTGAACTTCATACCTGTGGTCCATAACTGTTCCCAATCAGCCATCATAATATTATGTCCAACATCTTATGCCCATTTAATCATAGCAGATTTCACTGTTTCATCCTGAGTATTCCATTTCAACAGCAAGTTATACATTCTTGACAAAGTCTTAGTTTTGGAGTCTAACAGTTCTGTTTCCAATTTTGATTTTTCCACCTGGAAGCCAATTTTCTTGTCCACATTAAATGCCTCCATTATTTGATAATAATGAAGCCAATCTCGCACTTTATTTTTTAGTTTTTCAAAACTCTGCAATTTCAATTTATCTCCCTCTTGTTCCAAAATTTCCCAATATTTCGGCCATTTGGCCTCCATATTGAGCTTTTTCTGGGCCTTTGCTTCCATCGGTGACAACCACCTTGGGGTTTTGTTCTCAAGTAAGTCCTTATATCTTATCCAGACATTAAACAATGCTTTCCTGACGATATGGTTTTTAAATGCTTTATGCGCTTTGACCTTATCATACCACATATATGCATGCCACCCAAATACATTGTTAAAACCTTCTAAATCCAGAATGTCTGTGTTTTCAAGAAGCAGCCAGTCTCTCAGACAGCAAAATGCGGCCGACTCATAATAAAGTTTAAGGTCTGGCAGGGCAAATCCACCTCTTTCTTTTGCATCCGTTAGTATTTTAAATTTTATTCTAGGCTTCTTGCCCTGCCAGACAAATCTAGTAATATCTCTCTGCCACTTCTTGAAACAATCCATTTTATCCAAAATTTGCAATGTTTGAAACAAAAATAGCATTCTTGGCAATACATTCATTTTTATCACAGCTATACAGCCTAGCAGTGAAAGCTTCAAATTCAACCATATTTCTAAATCTTTTTTCACTTCCGCCCAACATTTCTCATAGTTATCTTTAAATAGGTTCACATTCTTAGCTGTCATATTAACCCCCAGGTATTTCACTTTCTTAACCAATGTCAAATCTGTCTCCTTCTGAAACCTCTCTCTTTCGATCGCTGTTAAATTTTTCTCTAAAACCTTAGTTTTTGACTTATTCAACTTAAATCCTGCTACTTGACCAAATTCTTGACTCAGTTCCAATACTCTTTTAGTACTAGATTCTGGCTCCTGTAATGTCAATACTAAATCATCTGCAAATGCTCTCAATTTGTACTGTTTAACTCCGACTTGTATACCTTTAACCAATTGGTCCCTTCTAATCATATTTAAAAGGACCTCCAGGACTGATATAAAAAGCAATGGGGATATTGGGCAACCTTGTCGAGTCCCTTTCTCTATCTTAAATTCCTCCGTCACCACATTATTTACAATTAATTTGGCCTTTTGTTCTGAATATATTGCACTTATACCGTTTTCAAAACTCCAGGAAATATTGTCAAAAGCTTTCTCCGCGTCCACAAATATCAAAACTGCCTTTGTATTTATATTCACTTGCAATTTTTCTAAAATATTAATTATATTTCTCATATTATCAGACAAGTGTCTACCTGGGAGAAAGCCTGCTTGATCTTTATGAATCTCTTCCATTAATACTTTTTTTAATCTTCTTGCCAAAATGTCTGCAAAAATTTTATAATCCACATTAAGCAATGATATGGGGCGGTAGTTCTTGAGCTGTGTCTTTTCAGTCTCTGTTTTCGGTATAAGTGTGATATACGCTTCCTTCCACGTCTCCGGTGCCCTTTTCCCTTCTAATATTTCATTACAGACTTCCTTTAAAGGTTGTATTAGCCATTCTTTCAAAGTTCTGTAGTATCTAGGAGTCAATCCATCCGGCCCTGGAGATTTACCTAATTGCATGCTCTGAATGGCACCTTCTACCTCCTGTTCAGTTATTTTACAATTCAACAATACTTTATTTTCTTGGGAAATCTTTTGTAATCCATTTACTTTCAAAAAGCGGTCTATATCAATTTCTTTCTGTGGCCCTTGTGTGTATAATTGTTTAAAGTATCTCTGGAAACAATTTTTAATCTCCACTGGGTTCTGTATATTCTTTCCTTCCACCTCCAAATTTGTGACGGTATTAAGTTTTTGTCTTTTTTTCATTTGCCAAGCCAACAATTTCCCACATTTATTAGCCGACTCAAATGTCTTTTGTTTCATCTGTTTAATTTTCCATTCTATTTCCTGATTCATCATTTTCATGTATTGTACTTGGTACAACTTTATTTCTCTCAAAATTTCTTGCGACTTTGGTTTTGCTCTCAATTTCTTCTCACTTTCCTTTATTTTCTCCAAAATTTTATCTTTCTTCTCATTTTGAGTTCTCTTTTTTATAGCATTCTGTTGTATCAGAAACCCTCTCATTGCCAGATGCTGAAGGGCCAGATGCTGAAGCTCTTCGCTGCCAGGATTTACCAGACCTCGTTGTTTTTTCTTGAAGCAAATCTATCTTTTCTTTCCCATCTGCCATAACACTCTTACTACAACCCAAGGTCAATCCCACGGTTATAGCTTGTTTTGAAGTGGAAAATTCCCCTGGCCCAGTTGTTGTAACAATTTCAAACTTCCTCTAGGGGGACACAGTAACAGTCAAGACTTGTTGCATTAAAAAATAACTCTTTTTAAAACCCCCATTTCACAAAGTAAGCAACAGTTTCAAATTCAGTTACTTTTCAGTCACTTTAAAATCAGGAGAAGCCAGCCAGGAACAATGTATCTCTCTTGCAGAATTAGCTGTCAAAAAGTACTCTATTCACAAAAAGTGCATTTCACAAAACGACAGTCTTATCGTCCATTGGCAGCCCGTTCCCAGGTTTTAAGCGGTGGATTTTATTTCCTTCCCTCTCTTTTTGCAGGAAAATACAGTTCAATCCTTTCCCCCCTCCTCTCCTGCTGCCAAGGGGGGAAATCACTTGTTTTGATATTCGAATTATAGTCCTTTCCAATTGACTTTCAAAGTCTTTAGCTTACAGTCTCTTTGCTTTATTTACAAGAAACGGAAGGCGGACTTCCTGTTTATACCTCCCCGCTTCGGTTCCGAATTAAGCCTTTTCTTTATTTCCACTTTTATCCTACTCACAGGTAGTTGCTTTTTGTAGCCGAATTGTCACAGGAAAAAGTCAGCGCTCTCCGGTAACGGCTGTGCGGCTTCGCTCCGCGGAAGAAGCAGTTGACTCTCAGCACCGCGCCACTTGCCCCGCTTCACTCCGGAGCCCTTAAATGGGTTCCTTTACAAATTGGGGGGGGGCGCGAAAGGTGCCCGCCGAGTCCCACGCTCACAGGCTTCACCCGCCTGTGATTTTTGGAGGGTCCCCGCTTCGCCGTAGCGGTGCAGACCCAATTCCCACAGAGCTAATCCCTCAGAGTCAGAGGGAATCCGCCATTACCGATGGCGCTAACCTGGAAGTCCAAGACCTTCCTTTTGTCTGCCCCGAATCTCCCAATATTCAGCTTCATAGAATTATAGACTAGTTGGAAGGGACCTCGAGGGTCATCCAGTCCAACCCCTAGCAATGCAGGAATCTCAACATGCGGTTCCCCATCCAATTTGAAACCAGACCAGACCCTGCTTAGCTTTGCAAGTGTGCTAGCGGCTTTAATGCTACACCATTTGGAGGGCTAGTGGATGAACCCCTAGGGTTCTCATATTATGTGGAAGGGAGAGAGAAATTGCAGAAAGTCCTGCCCCCTCTTTTCCAGCCAACGTTAAAACAAATTGAATCCACACAAAATCTGAGTGAAATGGTGGAATCCAAGGGATTCAAAGCACCAAACAAAGGTCCAATGTTGCTCTCTCTGTCTCTTTTTAATGTGGTTTTATTGTCTTGTGGCTCTGGGCTCCATCCAAGGAGGAAGGATGGGTTGTAAGAGCTGAAATAATCAGTCAATACATGCACCCTGCACCTGGTTAAACGGTGGGATCCACTTCGTCAAGAAGTAGCGGCGGTCACCAACTTGAAAGGCTTTAAAGTGGGTGGGGGCTAAGAGAAATTAATGGCGGGTTCGGTTCCTGGCCATGACAGCTGTGTCCAAACTCCACTTCTGAATGCAGTCTGAATTCCAGTTCCTTGGAAACACAAGATGGGAGAGTTTCTGTGCCGCTCAGGTCCTGCTTCCCATCATAGCTGTCAACGTTTCCCTTTTTTAAAGAGAAATTCCCTTATTCCGAATAGGATTCCTTGCAAGAAAAGGGAAAAGGGGCATCTGCTTGGCTAATGTGAGGCTGGGCTAGATGGGACTTTAGCCTGATCCCACCTTAGGTTCTTATAAGCAATCCTAGCGGCCCCCCCCCCCGCTTGCTCGGCTTGCCCACCCTCCTGCTCCCCGTCCTTCAAACCCACTTCCCCTTGCTCCTTGCCCAGACCCTTGTCCTCAGGAGGGAGGGGGGGTCACAGCTCCAGCACTACAATGCACAGCCCCTAACAAGGGCGCCTGTTTTCTCTGCCAACTCCCCACAGTACGTTCAGAAGAAGAGTCCGATGTACAGCTACGTCAAGGAGGAGACGGTGTGGTGCATGGAGCGCTTAAACAACTACGTCAACGAGAGGTTCAGGCACATCAAAGGGCTCCCTAAGGACTGGGTCTTCAATGGGTTCACTGTGAGTTTCCACACTTCCACCCCACAGCTGCTGCCACAGCATTTGTAGCCAGTTCTCCAGGATCAGGCTGTCATGCTGCTCCACTGTTTCTCTATTATTATTTATTGTATTTGTATGGGACGCGGGTGGCGCTGTGGGTTAAACCACAGAGCCTAGGACTTGCCAATCGAAAAGTCAGCGGTTCGAATCCCTGCGACGGGGTGAGCTCCCGTTGCTCGGTCCCTGCTCCTGCCAACCTAGCAGTTCGAAAGCATGCCAAAGTGCAAGTAGATAAATAGGTACCGCTCCGGCGAGAAGGTAAACGGCATTTCCGTGCGCTGCTCTGGTTCGCCAGAAGCGGCTTAGTCATGCTGGCCACATGACCCGGAAGCTGTACGCCGGCTCCATTGGCCAATAAAGTGAGATGAGCGCCGCAACCCCAGAGTCGGTCACGACTGGACCTAATGGTCAGGGGTCCCTTTACCTTTACCCATGGTTTCCCCCTCCCTCTTATTTAATCTCTGCAACAGCCCTGTGAGGTAGGTTGGGCTGAGAGGCAAGCCACTGGGTCATCCAATGAGCTTCCGGCCGAGTGGTGGATTTGAACCCTGGTCTCGCAGGTCCTGGTCTGATGCTCGAAACCATGGGTAGGCAAACTAAGGCCCAGATCCGGCCCAGTCGCCTTCTAAATCTGGCCCGTGGACGGTCCGGGAATCAGCGTGTTTTTACATGGGTAGAATGTGCCCTTTTATTTAAAATGCATCTCTGGGTTATTTGTGGGGCACAAGAATTTGTTCATTTTCATTTATTTTTTCAAAATATAGTCTGGCCCCCCACTAGGTCTGAGGGACAGTGGACCGGCCCCTCTCTGGAAAAGTTTGCTGACCCCTGCTCTAAACCATTATGCCCCCACTGGACCACATAAGCCAACTCCACCAGCTGACCGAATTGGAGAGCCTCGTGGAACTTGATTGGTGCAGATGCACCAATAGGCATCTTGGGGATGTTGAGAAAGTGCTCCTGGACACCAGCCACAAAATGGCTGCCATTGAGAGTTCAGTCTAACACAAAATGGCTGCTGTCGAGGCGTGGCATGACACAGAATGGGTGCCACCTCTGAAAGAGTAGGGAAAGGGGGTCGGTAAAGGGTGGGGCCGCTTTTGCTCATGGAGAGAAGCTCTTTGCATTGGGTAAAAAGCCATTGAAATGGATTTGATCCCATTGAGGGTTGGTGTGGTGTAGTGGTCCACCACAGACTAGGCCCTGGAAGACCAGGGTTCAAATCCCTTCTCGGCCTAGGACCCACGTACCTACGGGACCGCCTCTCCTGGTATGCCCTACGGAGGACCTTAAGGTCCACAAATGACAACACTTTGGAGGTCCCAGGTCGCAAGGTGGTTAGATTGGTCTCAACTAGGGCCAGGGCCTTTTTAGTACTGGCCCCGACTTGGTGGAACGCTCTGTCACAAGAGACTAGGGCCCTGTGGGACTTGACATCTTTCCGCAGGGCCTGCAAGACAGAGCTGTTCTGCCTGGCCTTTGGTTTGGACTCAGTCTGACCCTTATGTTTTCCCTCCCCTTATGGTTTTGATCTATGGGCTACTTTTAAAATGAGGCTGCATTTTAAATTGCATTTTAACCCGTATTTTAAATTGTTGTTTTTTTAATGATTTTACTGTAATTTTACTGGTGTTAGCCGCCCTGAGCCTGGCTGTGGCCTGGGAGGGCAGGGTATAAATAAAATTTATTTATTTATTTATTTATTTATTTATTTATTTATTATTATCGGCCATGAACCTCACTGGGGATGACCTTGGGCCAGTCCCTGTCTCTCTCTGCCTAGCCTACTTTGCAGGGTCGTTGTGAGGATAAAACAGGGTGGGGGAAGACTATGTATGCCACCTTGAGTTCCTTCAGGGAAGAAGAAGTTGGGGTGTAAAAATAAATAAATATAAACCATGAGTGGGCAAGCGTTCGTGACTTCCAATGGCTCTACTCTGAGTAGGGATGAGCGGGGGACCACCTGAGGACTGGACATAAGCAGATCCTCTAATCTGGATCTTTTGTGGCTTCCCCTGACTCGCAAGAGGTCTTGTGGGGCAGAGGGAATCTTTCCGGGATCATGCCGTCCTTCTGTGTCTTTCAGAAGAGAATGAAAGAGATCATGTTGCAGTGTTTCCTGGCGGTCAAGTCCAAGCTGGAGTGCAAGATGGGCTACTTTGATCTTATTGGCTGCGACTTCTTAATCGACGAAGACTTCAAGGTACAGTCATGGGGCCGCATCCTCGGCTGAGTGGGCAGCGAGAGGCACGAGTCTCCAGAGTCAGGGCTTGAGGAGGACAGCCAAGGGCATAGCTGTCAACCGTCCCTTATTTGGCGGGAAAGTCCCTTATCCCAGCACTGTGTCCCGCTGCTGTCCCTTATTGATGATGTCCCTTAAATTTCCCGGGTTTCAAAGGAAGCAACTCCTCTCCCTCCCTTCCTACCGGCCAGGGAGGAGGGAGGCTCCAGCTGTGTTGCTTGGCTGCGTTGCTCACCCAATAAGGAGTCTTAAGAATGGCTGGGGGGTGGAGCTTGCATGCTATGTGCCGATCAAATCCGCCGCGTTGCCTGGGGACTCTCCTTTGCTCAGCGCTTCCCAGCAGAGAGGTGACGGTGGTTTTCCTTGCTGCATCCCCTTTGCCGGGTTGCTGCGCTGTGGGAATCACCGCTTGAGGCTTCGTTTGGCTGCTGGCTGGGCTTTCTGCCTTTGGCTTGGAGGGGCTCAAAAGTCGAACATACCTGTGCTCTGAAAATCCCTTATTTTGGCTGCTGATCCCTTATTTTCGAGGCTACTGGTCCCTTAATTCAAATCTGTAAGTTGACAGCTATGGCTAAGGGACTCCTCTGATGGATAATGAACCCATAGATCTGGGAATGGTGGCTGTATGGGGTGAGCCTCCAGGTCTCTCTGCCTAGCCACATCCCCTCACCAGCCTTGCTTCACACCTACCCTGAGAGTTTTTGCTGGCTGGAATGTGTCCTTGAACTCAGATCATGCCTCTTTCTTTCCTGGATGGAGGATTTTGAGGGGTGTGTAGAAACCAGCCCACTGCACAGAGGTAGAATTTGCACTCGTCGCTTTGCACACTTTGTCCCTCTGGACCCGCCCGCTGCTGGCTTCCGGATGTTATATGGCGCGGGTATACTAGAAGTCATGGACATTCAGTGAAGCTGAATGTTGGAAGATTCTGGACGTACATAGTGCATAGTTGGACTACGGAACTCCCTGTCACAGGAGGCAGTGGTGGCCACCAACTTGGATGGCTTTGAAAGAGGATTGGACAAATTCATGGAGCAAAGGCTACAGTGGTACCTCAGGTTAAGTACTTAATTCGTTCTGGAGGTCCGTTCTTAACCTGAAACTGTTCTTAACCTGAAGCACCACTTTAGCTAATGGGGCCTCCTGCTGCCGCTGTGCCGCCAGAACACGATTTCTGTTCTCATCCTGAAGCAAAGTTCTTAACCCGAGGTACTATTTCTGTAACCTGAAGCGTATGTAACCTGAGGTACCACTGTATTTCTGAAATCCAGGTAGCTCTATAGGATAATAATAATAATAATAATAATAATAATAGGTTGTCGTCAGTGAACTTTTGTTATAATTGACCCACTGAAATTAAGGACCACGACACACTTTGATTTCAGTGGGTCTACTCAGAGTAAATGTTCGTTGACTACAACTCGTTGATGATTGATCATAATAATGGATTTTATCCCATTTTCATCCACTCATAGTAGACTCGTGGAAACTAATGGATACGACTAACTTTGGTCCATTCATTTCAATGGGCATACTCTGAGTAGGGCTTGTTGCACACAACCCAATGATTATTAATAGAACGTGCGTGTTATGGTTGGGTGCGTGTTATAGAGCGAAAAATACGGTATATACCATGTACTGCCCAAACGTTTTCTAAGCAGTTTACGAAACACATACACAAAAAACATTTGCACTGCATTGTTTAAAATAAGGAATAATTTTAAATATATATATCGTAGGCAAAACCCACAGCAAAACTATCCTGTTTAAACATTAAACTATAAATGGCCATGATGAAAATGTGCAATAGAACATTCCTGTTAAAACAACACAGCAATTAAAACTGGATATTCAGTCCATGAGGTCAAAGGACATCATAATCTTCATTATCTTCAGCACCCAGTTAAATAAATTATAGCCACTTATGATTAATTCAAACTACATATGCATAAAAACAATTCTATATGAGTCAAATGTTTTGTGGATATTTTTCACACTTCCAAGAAAGCCACCGCTCTCCTGAATCCACCGCTGCACTGCTCATTTTTTCCACTGCTTGCAGAAATATATGGCTGGCACTTTCCCCTTAAACTCTTAGCTTCCTTGAACTTGTTTATATAGCCTCTGTTGCAACAGGAAAGATTTTTTTGGGGGAGGTGGGTACAAGAGAAAATAGAAATGACTTTAGTGCCCCCTAGTGGCAGTCATAAAACATTTTGACTGGTCAAATTGGAAAACGGAAACAAACTGTGGGGAAACAGAACACAGAATCATTAAACTGTGGAGTTGGAAAGGACCCTGAGGATCAGCTATTCCAACCCCCTGCAATGCAGGAATATGCAGCTGGACTGAACCTGCAACCTTGGCATTATCATCACCATGTTCTAACCAAGTGAGCTATCAAGAATCAACAAAACAGGGATCACACACATGCCTTTATAGCACATCACTTTCCTCAAAGAATCCCAGAAATGTTAGATTGTTAAGGGTGCTGGGAATTATAGCTCAATGAGGGTTAAACTACAGTTTCCAAGATTTGTAGGGAGCCATGTGCTTTCTTTAAAAAAACAGCCCTGTGTTGTCGCACAATAATTCTCTTGCAGAGTCTTAGATCCAGGATTCAAAAGATATTTATTAAAGTTTTTAAGGTATAACAAAAAAGATGAAAAATAAAAAGAAACATACAAAATAAAAACAGTTAAAAACACATTAATTTTCATAACATATCTTCCTTACGCTTATTTCCCCAGACCTCCTCGTACCTCCCTTTTTTGTATTCCAGTTTAGTTTGTTAGTTCAGCAAATCCTTACCATTAAACTTTTACCCATTTGTAAACCTTTTTTTTTCATATCTCTTAAAGCATTACAGCTGGAAACCACTTATTTTCTATCCAACATCCTTCTAACATTCATTAATTTTACAATATTTCTGTAAATAGTCTTTAAATTTCTTCCAATCTTCTTCCACCGACTCTTCTCCCTGGTCTCGGATTCTGCCAGTCATTTCCGCCAATTCCATGTAGTCCATCACCTTCATCTGCCATTCTTCCAGAGTGGGTAAATCTTGTGTCTTCCAATATTTTGCAATGAGTATTCTTGCTGCTGTTGTAGCATACATGAAAAAAGTTCTATCCTTCTTTGGCACCAATTGGCCGACAATGCCAATTCAAAGATTCAAAGGCAGATTCAAAGGCAGGATCCAGTGGATCATGAGGCTTTAAACTAGACACACACCTAGGCCCTGATTTGCAGCCTGGATTTCAGGGCCAGAGCTGGAGATCCGGCAACTCAGCCTGTATGCAAAGAAAGAAATCTGTTCCCCCCCTTTTTTCCTTTTAAATCAGGTCTGGCTCCTGGAGATGAACGCCAACCCTGCCTTGCACACCAACTGCAGCGCCTTGAAAAGCATCATTCCCACGGTGGTGAATGAGACTCTGGGTAAGCAAAGCTGAGCAGCCATGAGGGAAATGGAGGGGTTCAGGAGCACAGAAACAAGCCGACTCCGCCACGAACAGAGTTGACCAGGTGCCCAGGACTCCCGTGGGTTCTATAGGTGTGTAGGGGACCCGGTGCCAGGAATAGGCACTGTCAGGCAATTGCCCAAGCTTCCAGGAGGGCTTCGACTGCTGATCAGCCCATCCACAGTACCAGCTCCAGCCACCTGGACCTGGCACACTTTGTCAAGCTCTCCTTTGCCCAGCGTTGGTGCCCAGGTGGCTGTAGACTGGCTCCTAGGGAGGAGAGGGTGGCACTGTGGTCTAAACCACTGAGCCTCTTGGGCTTGCCAATAATAATAATAATAATAATAATAATAATAATAATAATAATTTATTTATACCCTGCCCATCTGGGCGGCTTCCAACAAAATATTAAAATACAGTAATGCACCAAACATTAAAAGCTTCCCTAAACAGGGCTGCCTTCAGATGTCTTCCAAAAGTCTGGTAGTTATTGTTCTCTTTGACATCTGGTGGGAGGGCGTTCCACAGGGCGGGTGCCACTACCGAGAAGGCCCTCTGCCTGGTTCCCTGTAACTTGGCTTCTCGCACTGAGGGAATTGCCAGAAGGCCCTTGACACTGGATCTCAGTGTCTGGGTAGAATGATGGGGGTGGGGACACTCCTTCAGATAGACTGGACAGAAGTTCGACAGTTCAAATCCCCACGACGGGGTGAGCTCCCGTTGCTCTGCCCCAGCTCCTGCCAACCCAGCAGTTCAAAAACACACCAGTGCAAGTAGATAAATAGGTACCGCTGCAGTGGGAAGGTAAACAGCGTTTCCATGCACTCTGGCTTCCGTCACGGTGTCCCGTTGCACCAGAAGCAGTTTAGTCATGCTGGCCACATGACCCAGAAAGCTGTCTGCAGACAAACGCCGGCTCCCTTGGCCTGAAAGCGAGATGAGCACCACAGCCCCATAGTCGCCTCTGACCAGACTTAACTGTCCAGTGGTCCTTTACCTTTTTTTACCTAGACTGGCTCCTGTCCAGAGCCCCCAGAAGGGAAAGGAGGGGAGCCTGGAAGTTGTTCTTCATTGGGGAGCTTCTGGGTTCAGACTGAGCAGACTCAGATCTCCCTAACAAAGGAGATCAAAAACATTGCATTGCACAGTTCCTGAGAAGGGATGGGTGGGTCTCTCCAATTCAGTTTCTCTTAGTTCCTCAGGGTTGTATCCAGTTAAGTTCCCACACTGAGTAGGCACATGAAAATTAACGGGCCTCATGTTCATAAACTTCAGTAGGATCCACAGTTGATTACAACCCTCCACTTCCCACTCTGCAGTTCAGTTCTCCACATTTATACATCAGTTTGTGGTTATTGTGGAGTCCTTGTGGAATTTCATCAGCATTTTGGGGTGCATTCCTCATAAAGCACACATTTTTGTCTGTTGTTATATACACATTTTTGCAAAGCGACTCTCCTTAGCATACTGAATCTTTGTACACCATTTTCACTGCTACATGATGCCCTACCTAGAATATACAGCCATACCTTGGTTCTCAAACGCCTTGTGACTCAAACATTTTGGCTCCCGAATGCTGCAAACCTAGAAGTGAGTGTTCCAGTTTGCAAATGTTTTTCAGAAGCCGAACGTCCAATGCGGCTTCCACAGCTTTCGATTGAGTGCAGGAAGCTCCTGCAACCAATCGGAAGCCGTGCCTTGGTTTTCAAACATTTCAGAAGCCAAACAGACTTCTGGAATGGATTAAGTTCAAGAACCAAGCTTCCAGCAGAATATTAAAATACAATTATTCACCCAGTATTAAAAGCTTCCCTAAACAGAGCTGCCTTCAGATGTCTTCTAAAAGTCCGATAGTTGTTTATTGCTTTGACATCTGATGGGAGGGCATTCCACAGGGCGGGTGCCACTCCTGAGAAGGCCCTCTGCCTGGTTCCCTGCAACTTCTCTTCTCGCAGTGAGGGAACCGCCAGAAGGCCCTTGGCGCTGGATCTCAGTGTCCAATTTCTGAAAGATAGCTAGCTTTGGGCTTTGCGTTTCAGAAACAAGAACCAGGTAATTTGCCCTTAAAGGGGGAAACTGCATTGGGTCTCACCCCACACCACCCCTATTCTTGACTCTCTGTCTCTCTCTGTGTGGGCCTTTCCCAGATCTGGCCATCGAGATTTTCACCAAGAGCCAGAAGATCCAGAACATCTTGCCCTTGGAGTCGCTCTGCCACTTTGCCCTGCTGTACAGCGGGGTGGGCACAGACAGCAACCAGGCGCAGCCCACCAAGAGCAGGACGTCCCTCCGCTCTCTCAGGAGCCACCGCTCCCTCACTGAGAACAGCAGCTTCTGCAACAGCACCTACAACATGAGCCCTGGGCGCCCGGCGGAGAAGCAGCCGGTCAAATCTCCGGAGAAGCCAGCCAAGGGCGAGGCGCCAGCCAAGGGCGAGGCGCCAGCCCACTCGGAAGGGGTCACCATCGTGCCCAGCAGGGGGGTCCCCAGGAACACTTTGCCCATGCCCCAGATCCAGATCTCCATCGTGCCCAACCTTGCCTGCTGCCCATCCGTCAAAACCATCCTCCGGGGCAACCAAGTCTGCAGCAGCGGCAGCCAGTATATCATCAAGCATGTCCCCCCGGTCTCGGACAGGCACCCGGAGGCCGAGGGCGACGACGAGAGGGCCAGAGCCGCTGGCCTTGCTGTTGCCGGGGCGCCCTCCAAGGACCGGTCCTACGCGGCTTGGTTCCAGCAAACGTTTGGGTCCAAGTTCCTGGCAGCCAGCGGCAATGGGGCAGGCAGCCCCTTGACCAGCTCGCAGATGGTCTCCCTCCATCTCCAGTCCAGCCTCCTGCCCAATCTCCCGGCCTCCCAGGAACAAGCCAAGCCGCTGCGCCAGCTCATGAATTACTCCAAGATGCCCGGGGAAAGTGGCAAGGCCTTGGCAGCGGGCCAAAGCTGCGGCGAATCCCTCCCTGGAGAGAAGAAGCTCTCTCACCGGGGCTCCTAAAAGCAAGATCGCTTGTGTATTTCCAAAGCCCGCCTTCTTTTTCCTATAAAGGACCACGAGGGAAAAAAAACCCAAAGCAACCCCGGTCCTTGACTTCTTTCAGCAGTTCTAAAAATGGAGTCTGTGGCATCCCTTATAGGATGTCAAAAATGATTGGTGTTGGGTTTTTTGTTTTTCTTACACAAATCCTTCTCGATATGTTTTAAGGGAGAAGAAAAGGCTAATAACGAGTAAACCCGACACAAATTCGGAGCGGAGTTCCTAAGACGGTTACAGCCAAGCTGGTGCCAAATATGTTGCTTTGCTTTCCTTGGACCGCATCAGCAAGGTGGGAGGGAGGATCTTGTTGTCTGGGCAGCCCAGGACCAAACTGCCCAGGCTTGCACCCTAGGGGGGTCACTTCGGTGCTGCTAATGCCGAGGTTTGACTTCACCTCTGGAGGTGCACTCCATTGTCTCTCGAGACAACAACAAGAAAAGAAAACCTGGTGTAAAAAAACATGCATCTGCCCATAGTCAAGACCCAGATTAATTCTGGGATTTTGCTTGACTCCTGTGCCTTCCCTTTGAGATTGATATTCAGGGGTGGGGCGGTCCGTAGCATGATGGAAACTGACATCCTTGCCCTCTTTCCTTCCCTGTGTGATGTGGGACATGCAATAACGCCCTGCTTGTTCATTCGTTGAGCAGAGCACAGAATTGTACAATCATCGAATTGTAAAGATGGAAGGGACCTTGAGAGTCATCTAGTCCAACTCCCTGCAATGCTGGAATCTTTTGCACAACGTGGGGCTCAAACCCACAACCCTGAGATTAAGAGTCTCATGCTCTATACCAACTGAACTAGCAAATAAATAATATGGTTGCATGCCACCCCAATCTCTGAACAATGCCAGATTCCAGGGCTACAAGGTACCAAGGTCTGTGTTTCCTTTCGGACAACGAGGCACAGCAGGGACTCTGGTGTCTTTATGATACATTGTTTATTGACACATACGGTATATACAACCTTGAGCCTAGGATGGGTGGAAAGCTTTGCATTCCAGGAGGGTCCTGCCTCTCCCATGGCAGCCAGCGTTGGATTCAGACTGCCAGCCCACGTTGTGCTTGCAAACTGCTTCCTAAGACGCCAATATTTTCCTCTTGCTTACATCAGCCCCCAGCAATTCTGAAACTGCCCCCTCCCAACTCTGCATTGTCTTATGCTAACTACCCAGAGTGATGGCTGCCAACCTAGACAGCTTGAAAGAGAATGATACAAAATTCATGGAGAAGGGTATCAGATGGTTATGCTCTGCCTCCAGATGTAGAGTACAGTGCAGAACTTTTTCTTTGCATGCAGGAATTCCCAAATCCCAGCTCCAGCAGCATAGCATGGGGGGGGGCAGAGGGGTAGTGGCCTGGGGCACAAAATTCTGAGAGAGGCACAACCAGGCACCCCCACAACAGGCTCTCCTATTGAGGGCATGTGGCTGAGCTCCCAACACCTTCCAGAGCCACAGGGAGGCAAGTTACGTTTCGGGCCTGGGGTGGTGCCACCTTCTCCACATGGCCCTTAAAAGGGATGCCCATATGCCAAGCCAGGAGGCAGCAGAGCCGCCAAGCTGAGAAGGTGCACAGCCAACTACCACCAGCAGCGGCAGCCATGTGTCTTGCAGACTCAGCACACACACACAACACCCCTGGTGCATGCTTCCACCCAGCTGCCCAGTCCACCCAATTGCCCTGCCCTGGCCCCAGCAACCCACGCTATGCCACTGCCCTAGCAACTGCAAGCAAAAGGGAATCATGCTTCCACCCAGCTGCCCAGTCCACCCAATTGCCCCACCCCGGGCACCAGCAACCACGCTATGCCACTGCCCTGGCAACTACAGGCAAAAGGGAATCATGCTTCCACCCAGGTGCCCAGTCCACCCAATTGCCCTGCTCCGGGCACCAGCAACCCACGCTATGCCACTGCCCTGGCAACTGCAGGCAAAAGGGAATCAGGTCACTGTTGATGGGAGGGTCCCTTCTCTGTCTTACACTCTGGAGAGCTACTGCCAGTCAATACATCCTCTACACTGACTGTCAGCGCCTCTCCAGGCCTTCAGGCAGGGATGTCTCCCAATTCTTCCTGAAGATGCTTATGATTGAACCCAGGACCTTCTGCATGCAAAGCTGGTGCTCTGCCATCGTACTACGTCCCTACACATAAGGCGTAGGCAGTTGCCTTATACAAATTAGATTGCTGGCATGTCTAATTCAACATTGTGTAAGCTGATGGGTAGAGGCTCTCCAGTGTTTCAGGCAGGGGGCATTCCCAGCCCTACTTGGAAATGCCAGGGATCGAACCTGGGACCTTCTTCACGCAGAGTAGATGCCCCACCACTGAGCTGCAGCCAGTGACGCACACTGCCTGGCCAGCTGCCCCTACTGGGCCTCTGGGTAAGCCAGCAGTCCAGCTTGTGACCTCTCACCATGAAATCCTCTCTTTAACAAAACGCCAATAGAAACGTATGATCTTTACTCAGGTTGTGCCCAAACTGTTAACTCCACCTTTCATAGGAACGCAGGAAGCTGCTTATCCCAAGCCATACCAGTATTGTCTGCACTGACTGGTAGCAGCTTTCCAGGGTTTCGGACAGGGTCATTCCCGTCCCTGCCTGGAGATGCTGGGGATTGAACCAGAGGCCTTTTGCATGCATGCACCGGACTGTAGCCTCTTCTTCCTCACCCTGTTGCTTTTCTCCCCCCTTGTGGAAATGCCAGCCCCATGTTTGCGAGATTAATGTAGCTTCAGAATCTCAACTGGATTAAAAGAGTGTGCAAGCGCAAAGCATACCCCCAGCTTCCAGCCGGCTAACAAAACCATCCTTTCTTCAGATTGGTCCTGAAATTCAAGTGGGGAAAACACCTGAAGCCGTGAGTCACGGCGAACGGTTGAAAACATTTTAAAGAGGCACACGTTCCGTTGCAGGGCGTTTCAGAGAAAGGGAAAGTGTCCATGAGGTCACCCGCTATCACAGGCGCGAATTTCCACAGTCTCTTTACTAGCAGCGGAAAGAAAGAAACGAGTGAAGCTGAAGCTTTATTGTTTTAACGGAGAAGTGTCAGTTTCACAAAGGAAGCGCAGCTCAAGGCTCTGGGGTTGCCCCCCCCTTCCTTTTCTAAAAATTAAAAAAAAGAAAAGGCAATTCTCGTTAAGAGATGGGGGTGGCACCGCTGCTTTTGCATGAAAGCAAACTTTCTTCCCTTGCGTCAGAATCGCACCCTTTGAAACAGTGGAAGAAGCAGCGGAGTAAAAGAAGAAGAAAAAACGCCTTCAGGTTTCCCAAAGCAGGTTTCTCGAAACAAGGAAAGCTCACGGCAACGGCCTCCAGAACAGTGCCTGAACAGAGGGACGTCATTATGGGGGTGGTGAGATAAGCAGAAAAGCCTCCGGGCAGCCTGAAGTTGGAGATACACATGTTGCCAGAGGGTGGGAAGCAGCTCAGGGGAATCCTGTTAAGACTGCCATTTTGCAGGTTCTAAACTGAGTCTTGCTTACCAAACAGGGAGAGGCTCTTAGAGCAGGTGTCTCCAAGACAGGGCACCCCAAATGATTTAGACTACAGCTTGCATCACCCAATGGTCAGGGACAATGGGAGACGTTGCCCACAACATCAGGAGGGTGCCAACCAAGGGAAGGCTGTCCTAGGCATGAAGGGTACGTCATTCTATCTACCGCAAATCATATGCCTGTGCCCAGGCTATGTCTTGCCACCCCCACCAATATACATAGACAGGGTTGCTAACTGGCTGTTTGATTGCTGATCTGACCAGTGAAATGGCATTCTGGGCTGAGCTAATCGTGCTCAGAGTAGACCCCTTGAAGTTAATGGGCAAGGCTGGCTCAGGTCCATTCAGTTCAGTTAGCCTGCTCCCAGTGAACGGTAGTTGGAGATGACCCTCCTCTCTCAGAGAACCAGAAATGGAAGTCTGGGAAGTCAGATTCTGCAAGGCTCCGCCCACAACCCTCCCAATCACATTCTGGCTCCACCTCCAATGTACGCCAGATTCCGCCAGACTCCGCCCTGCCCTCTGGCCCCGCCTTCCCTGGCTCCATATCCATGGAGTACTCATAGGACCAGTGTTTTTGTAAAAAAAAATTGGACGTCAGCTGCCCTACCCATGAGGATGTCTCCTGCATTCTCCATCTTCCAAACCCTGCCTAGGAAAGCGAGGTGGGTGGCTTGTTCCAGCAGTTGCAACTGGGGGTGGGTGAATAGGGAAAGCAGGGTTGAAATTTCCATCTCCAGGAGATCTTTCCTCGTAACCTGATTTCCCTAGCCAGCAAGGAAAGCTCTCATAGTCATAGGATGTAGAGCAGGTGATCTGACCTAGAGACAGCTAGTAGCAGTGAAGGAGCCAACCTAGAGGGAAACAGCTCAGGCGGCCAAAGCCCCATCATGCCACAACAAAGATAATAGCTGCCGTTCATATAGTTCAGCCGCCTAGATATTGCGGGGCAAGTTTTGCACGTGCTTGTGGATCCGCCCCAAGTTCTTTCAGTGGGCCAAAGAGATCTGTGAGGCCTTCCATTTGTCCATGTTCTCCCCATGCTCTTCCTCTGGGAACTGGCAACTGCAGGTGTCTTCATGGTGAGATCCTAGGAAGTTTGAAGGGTGGACGGATTCAGGCTCTGCAGGACAAAGGTACCAATGGTAAGACAAGGAGGAGGGATGTCTGAGGACCACATTCCTTCCTGGGAAATGTGGCATGCCCCAGAGGTGGGCGGGGCTAAAGGCCAAAGTGGGTGGAGCAATGAATGTAAATTTTACCGTCGTGCGGTAGGTGGAGTACCCTCCAACCAGGCAAGCAAGGGTTAATGGGCACAAAAAATGAGGACATGCAATAATTAAACCTGTGGTGAAGGGAGAAGGAGGTGCTGGGTTCAATCCTGCTGGGTGCTGATTTGATAGCACATTCCCTGCAAGGAAGCCCAGCCCAAGCAGACCCTGCAGAGACTGCCTGCATCTTCTGTTTCTCCCCTGCCTCATAACCAGCCATCTTCTGTCAGGGCCAGATCGCTCTGGGAGGGACAACCCAACCTGAGTTGACTGGGGCTGTCTCTCCGCTCAATGCAGGGTGATTTGGCGCTGGATCCGGGCTTGTGTCAGATCCAGAGCACAACCCTACTGGAGGTTGGCATACTCCAGGTGTCATGGATGCAGTTGGATGCAGAGGAATGGTGGTGGTGGGGAACCAGCTGGGGACCCACTAAGGGAAGAAGGCTCAGAGACCGGGGACTGGTGGTGGGATGACGATGAGTGGTCAGAGGGAAAAGATTGGGAGGAGGAGGAGGTGTTGGAAGAGGTAACAGGGTTTAGTGAGCTAGGAGAGTCGGTGGCAGAGAGTAGTCCAGAATCGAAGGCAGAAGCTGAAACAGGAAGAGGGGGAAGATAGGCCAAGAGGCAGAGATGAGTCAGGCTGGTGAAGAACTGCAGGTGTCTCCCCCTTCTGCTGTGACAAGCCCCCCTCCCCACTTGTCTCCCAGAACCAGAAGAGGGCTGAAATGGGTGGAGGAGGAGCAGGCTGCATGCAGGCGCAGTCTCTGATTACTTGGGGAAAAGGCCTAGAAAGGAGGGGACTTAGCTGTGGGGAGGTGGGGGCTTTCGGTCACAGCAACTGATTCATGGGGTAAGACCTCCCAGGGACGAGCTGCTGTGCTCATTAGGCCTGACACTCAGCCAAGTCTGTGAGGATCGTCTTTTTGCTAATAAAGGAATTAGAGCCAACTTTGAGCACTGTGATTTACTGCCGGCTCACCCTTTGACACTAGGCTTTTGACTGATACCGCCATGGCTAGGTTAGGAGGGAACTCTGGGTGGGGTCAAAAAGCTACACTGACCTTCCACCAGGGGCAGTTTCTTCTTCTGTGTCCATACGCAGATGATTAAAAAGAACGTCAGCAGGATGAGAAGAGAGAGGCCCGTTGCTGTCACAATGGTCAAGATAGTTGTCACGGTGGAATCTAAAGAATTAACGGGCATAAATTTATGTATTTATAAGAGCGTTATTTTACCACCATATCATAAAACACCCGGGGAGTATTCAAACATAAAACCCCATTCAAATAAATAAATAAAAACACATTAAAGTGATTGGCTGCTAAATAATAATAATAATAATAATAATAATCTGCTGCATAGACCTGTCGACGGAACTTTGGCTGAGCTCCAACTCCCTAGATGGGCTTCAAGGGCGCCATCTAGGCTGCAATACCAGCTACCTGAGCATTCTGTCAGCTGACCTCCCATGGGCCAATCCCAGCACACCAGGCCCTATATAAGCTCAGAACCCGACGGCTTGTTCCTCAGTCCTAGCGTGAGGACAGTGCAGAACACCCTTCTCTCTGCAGCAGGCTTTAAAAACAAGCACTAGATTTTCGAAACAAGGAAGCTGAAGAAAACACTCCTCCGTATAATTCATTCTAATATATTTAATCCATTTTGTCTGATTTAATTGGAGTTTAATTGGGTTGAGAGTTTAATTTATAGAATTTGGAATTACTTTAATCTTACATAGCATTTTAAGAGGGTAATTTATCTGTAATTAATCTGTGTTCATAATTTATATTTTCTAACCCTCCATTTCATTGATCTTTTCATTGGTTTTTTCTCATATTAATCTATATCATTATTTTCTTTCTTGAGTATCTATAGATTTAAATCTTCTTATAAAAGATGAGAAAAATTATTTGTTTAAAGGTATCCTTCCCCCTTTTTTCTTTTTAAAAGTTAGGTATTATTTTATATACTCTTCTTTACTCAGTTATTAATGGGCTCATAATATTGTAACAGATGAAGTAATGATATCTGTTTCTAGGACATTCTTTATTTAACAATATCTTTTTTCTCCCCCTTCGTTTTCAGGTTTTTTTGATCAGATAGGCACTAACATAAAGCAGTGATGACAGCCTTTACCAAAGGTGTCATGGGCTTTGAAGACGCTCGAACTCAGGACGCAAGGGAGATACATGCTAAGAGGAAGGCACGCTTGGCAAATCCACACTGTGATCAACTCCCGCCCAGAAACCAATGTCCCCACCGTGGAAGGACATGTGGATCCAGAATTGGCCTCCACAGTCACTTACGGGCTCATTGTTAAAACCGTCTTTATGGAAGACAATCTTACTCGGCTACGAGTGATCGCCAAAGAAGAAGAAGACCTGTTATACATTGTGATATTGAAGCGTATTTATGAACTTAAATATATAAAACAAAACAAACACCGAAACGTGTCTTTAATATTTGCTGCCTCCTGCAAGAGAACTCTCTTGCTAGCCGTGACCATCATTCCTGCGCCCCAAGAACACCCATCTCTGTGTCTCCTCGTGGACATCTTTGCTCCTGTCCGCAGAATAACGTCCGGGTCACCCTCCCATTTTCACCCCCTGCATAGGCCGCGTCAAAAACGTGTCTCTCCAAGTGTGAGAGATTTGGCAACAGCCGTAATTGGAATCCAGTCCCGCTGTGTCCATGTTCTCCCTGTATGTTGTATTCAGTGGAAGCTGTACTCAGAGTAGACCCACTAAAGCGAACAGGCACCACAGACAGATTCATTCATTTCAACAGGTCTGCTTTGAGTAGAACTGTGTTGGAGACAACTCTGCGATTCCCATGTGTAGGTCTTTTAGGCCCATTTTGGATGCAGAAAACAGAACCGTACCAGTTTGCATAACTACGGTGACGGGTCTCGTGTCGCCACATTCCACGTTATGAGTTGTGTTCCCTGGTCGTCGAACTGGAAGCCCCAAAGTCTTGCAGCTACAAAGGAAGGAAAGAATGATGGTTGGAACATGGGTCATGCGCTCAAGGTGTGCCACAGCTTAGTGGTTGAGCATTGGTTTTGCTTGTGTCTCCAGGCTTGTAGAGTCTCCTCTCTGAATCCCTGGAGAGCTGCTGCCAGTCAGTGTAGACAACACTGAGTTAGATGGACCAATGGTCTCTCTCGGTATGTTCCTATAATAAAATTAAAAGGTAAAGGGACCCCTGACCATTAGGTCCAGTCGTGACTGACTCTGGGGTTGCAGCGCTCATCTCGCTTTATCAGCCGAGGTAGGCAGTGTACAGCTTCCGGGTCATGTGGCCAGCATGACTAAGCCGCTTCTGGTGAACCAGAGCAGCTCTCACGGAAACGCCATTTACCTTCCCGCCAGAGCGGTACCTGTTTATCTACTTGCACTTTGATGTGCTTTCGAACTGCTAGGTTGGCAGGAGCAGGGACCGAGCAACGGGAGCTCACCCCGTCGCGGGGATTTGAACCGCCGACCTTCTGATCTGCAAGTCCTAAGCTCTGTGGTTTAACCCACAGTGCCACCTACGTCCCTTTCTAGAATAAAATAGCATTATTATTATTATTATGCTGCAAAGCAGAGAATGACTTACTTTGCCCAAGGTCTGCAACAGCTGCCTTTGGCATCAGAGAAAGTTCCATTAGGGCATGGGCTGCAGAAATATCTGAAGTCAATAGTGCCTGGAAGAAGGAAGAGGGGAGGGGGTTACTTACTGCTGAGAGGCTTCTAGCTGTGCTTTTACTCTTTCTAACAAAGCAACATTTTCTCTATTTCTGCTTAGTAAATCTGTGTACAATCACTCCAAAGCAGTTTTCAATAAGTGGCGAACTATAAAATTGAGTGAGGCGGTATAACAACTTGGAACTTTAAAAGAAGCCGATACAGTACTCGGTTCCAAAAAACCCCCAAGTAGAACATATTTATTATTATGTATAAAATTTGTATACCGCCTTATACACATAGATCGCAGGGCGGTTCACAACATAAGATTACATTATAAAACCACCCACAAAATACATAATGAAAAATAAAAACAAAGACAACCCAATAATTCCCCCCCAACAATATATTTTATAGGGCATTAGATGTCAATCACGCCTATTGTTGAGGCTCAGAACCTGACAGACCCCACTAGGCTCCGCCCTCAGATCCACCACGCCCTGCCAGGCTCCGCCCTCTGTCCTGCTACATCCTGCCAGGCTCCGCCCCCTACTCTATCGCATTCTGACAGGCTCCAAGCCCTGATCCACCACATTCTGCCAGACCAGACCCCTCAACCTTGCTAGGTTTTACCTCTTGTCTGTCTTGTCTTCCATACGCTGTTAGACTACAACTCCCATCATCCCTGACCCTTGTCTCTGCTGGCTGGGGATGATGGGACTTGTAGTCTCACAACACCTGGAGGACCCAAGGTGGAAGGCCTGTGACTTAGATGTAGAAGGGATTGACTCAAGGGTTACCTGAACATCTCAGTTCCTGCCCTTCTGGACACGTTGGCAGTGCCCGGCATTGATGGCATAGCTTGTCCTTACAGCACTTCCCACCACCACATTTGCCACAGGATTTCGGAGGGACTCCTGGTCATGAAGAAAGCACAGGTCAAGGCAGGTGATCAAGGAAAGAGGACTATAAATACATATTTCTTTACAGCTGCCCCTTTGAGTCTATGATGGGCACCGTGGTTTAGCCCAGGCCCTGGGAGAAAAATACAGCGCTCCATTGAAATCAGTTAACCTAAGTTATTTTATTTATTACAGTTATATCCTTCCTTTTTCTCCAAGGAGCTCAAGTAGGAGTACATTGTTCCCCTCTCCTCATGTAATCCTCATAACTCTGTGAACTAGGTGAGGCTGAGAGCTTCTGGCTGTCTCAAGGCCGTGTGGTGAGCTCCATGGCTGAGTGGGGATTTGAACCCTAGTCTCCCAGGTCCTATTCTGACATGCTAACCACTCTGCTGCATTGGCTTTCCAGTGTGTTCTTTAACTTCAATGGCTCTACACTGAGTCCTCCAGCAACGGCAGCTTTGAGGAGATTATGAATCCACACCCTTGCCCATGCCGTGTGGGTTGGTGGGCACCAGTGCTTGCCTCCCTTCTGAACCCTGCAGGGACATTTCTCTTGACAGCCTTTGATCACTGGTTCATAGACTCCTTGGGAGATCAAAAGAACCCCAAACAAAGACCAGCAGAGCCGGAAACTCCATTGCCTAAGCCAACAACTACAGGAAAAAGGCACTGGTCGCTTAACTGGCCTGAAGGGGCACTCAGGGGGTGGGGATGCCAGTTAATGACTACCTAGCCTTACTATAAACCCTCAGCTGGTTGCTTGAGGACTTTGCTGAGAAAACTTAGGTGACATGTCTCACCTTATGGGGTGCTATCCATGGTCCTGAAACCTTGCCAAACTACTGGCCACTTCTTGTTTCGGCCATCATTCTTAGTGGAAGACATCCCTGTGGATCATGATACACCCATCCTTTGGAATGGGACATTACTGGGAGAACGGGAAAGATGCTGACTACCAAACCAATTGGAGCAGTATGGAAATTGAAATGTGTCTGCCACCTGAAAACAGCCCCAAATCCCTCCCTCTTTTCATGAAATTATTATGGTCTAACCCAGCACTAATTGCTGCCACTTAGGCTTGCAAAAATTATACCAGAAAGATATGGATGTCTCGTACACCCCAGGTAGTGTGGTTGCTGACCTTGAGCCAGACATCCTGAAGAGTGAAGTCAAATGGGCCTTAGAAAGCACTGCAAATAACAAGGCCAGTGGAAGTGATAGTATTCCAGCTGAACTATTTAAAATTTTAAAAGATGATGCTGTTAAGGTGCTACACTCAATATGCCAGCAAATTTGGAAAACTCAGCAGTGGCCAGAAGATTGGAGAAGATCAGTCTACATCCCAGTCCCAAAGAAGGGCAGTGCCAAAGAATGCTCCAACTACCGCACAATTGCACTCATTTCACACGCTAGCAAGGTTATGCTTAAAATTCTACAAGGAAGGCTTAAGCAGTATGTGGATCGAGAACTCCCAGAAGTGCAAGCTGGATTTAGAAGAGGCAGAGGAACCAGAGACCAAATTGCAAACATGCGCTGGATTATGGAGAAAGCTAGAGAGTTCCAGAAAGACATCTACTTCTGCTTCATTGACTATGCAAAAGCCTTTGACTGTGTCGACCACAGCAAACTATGGCAAGTTCTTAAAGAAATGGGAGTGCCTGATCACCTCATCTGTCTCCTGAGAAATCTCTATGTGGGACAAGAAGCTACAGTTAGAACTGGATATGGAACAACTGATTGGTTCAAAATTGGGAAAGGAGTACGACAAGGCTGTATTTTGTCTCCCTGCTTATCTAATTTATATGCAGAATACATCATGCGAAAGGATGGGCTGGATGAATCCCAAGCTGGAATTAAGATTGCCGGAAGAAATATCAACAACCTCAGATATGCAGATGACACAACCTTGATGGCAGAAAGTGAGGAGGAATTAAAGAACCTTTTAATGAGGGTGAAAGAGGAGAGCGCAAAATATGGTCTGAAGCTCAACATCAAAAAAACGAAGATCATGGCCACTGGTCCCATCACCTCCTGGCAAATAGAAGGGGAAGAAATGGAGGCAGTGAGAGATTTTACTTTCTTGGGCTCCATGATCACTGCAGATGCTGACAGCAGCCACGAAATTAAAAGACGCCTGCTTCTTGGGAGAAGGGCAATGACAGGCCTAGACAGCATCTTGAGAAGTAGAGACGTCAGCTTGTCAACAAAGGTCCGTATAGTTAAAGCCATGGTTTTCCCAGTAGTGATGTATGGAAGTGAGAGCTGGACCATAAAGAAGGCTGATCGCCGAAGAATTGATGCTTTTGAATTATGGTGCTGGAGGAGACTCTTGAGAGTCCCATGGACTGCAAGAAGATCAAACACATCCATTCTTAAGGAAATCAGCCCTGAGTGCTCAGTGGAAGGACAGATCATGAAGCTGAGGCTCCAGTACTTTGGCCACCACATGAGAAGAGAAGACTCCCTGGAGAAGACACTGATGCTGGGAAAGATGGAGGGCACAAGGAGAAGGGGGTGACAGAGGACGAGATGGTTAGATAGTGTTTTCGAGGTTACCAGCATGAGTTTGACCAAACTGCGGGAAGTAGTGGAGGACAGAGGTGCCTGGCGTGCTCTGGTCCATGGGGTCACGAAGAGTCGGACACGACTAAACGACTAAACAACAACAAAGGCTTGCAAATGGACACCTAGTCTGGGGGTTTATGGCAAACAAGAACTGCGCCAGATGTACCCCTTTTGTCCAGCAGAAAGTTAGGCATGTTGGTAGTGTATAATTCTTATTTTCAGCTGATACAGTTTCAATGTTTTGGTCAATGGGAAATGTTTAAACCACCACTTGGCTCAATAATGAAATGATAGATAATATTAGTTGTTTTAAATTGTTCTAATATTGTTTTTAATGCTGTAACCCACCCTGGGACCTTAAGGTGAAGAATTCGTAATAAATTGATCACCGTCACGATAAATAAGACCTGGAAAGATAGAAAAGAAGGCGGCAGCAGGATTGGGTGGCAGACAGATTGGCTGTTTAGGTAGAATAGATTGGATAGCTAGATTGATATACACGGCAAGCAAGATTAAATTGTATAGAGATGGATAGAAAATGCACACCGTTCAATAAACAAAAGGATAGAAGGGATTGATAAGAAGACAGGTTGGAATGTTGTAAGTAAATAGAATAGATTTAATGGATTGACAATAATATATAGAAATGGTAGATAGGATAGTTGGGTAAAAAAATTGAAACTAGCACACAGGTCAATAAACAAAAGGATATAAAAGACTGATAAGTTCTGTAAAGATGGGGAAAAAAGAGAGAGGATACAATAGGAACAGATCGGATAGACAGATAGGCATGGGATTGTAAAATTATGGAATTATAGGTAGAAACTAGCACGTGGGTCAATAGACAAAATATAGATAAGATTGGTAAGTTGCAAATATAGAAAATAAAGGATAGCGTAGGAAGATAGGTAAAATGACAGATAATGCATTTGACAGAATAGAAAGGGAGGTGAAATAGATTGAACAGATAGATTGACATTTATGGTGAAGAGGATAGTTAAGTTATGCAAAGACAGAAAAACAGGTTATATAAAATAGGTAGACAGAGTAGAATAGGTAAGATGGATAGGATAGCTAGACATTATATCAGCTATAGCAAAGTGTAGTTCTTAGGAAGTTCTCAGTATTACAAATAAAATTATCTCAGTAAACTTTGGTTTAACCACTGAACGGCTTGGCCTGTCTTATGTAAGAAGTCTTTCTGTTGCTCGTTATGAACCCTGAGGTGAGACTTTGGAAATGGGGAGACGCATTCTGAACACAATGGTATCTTTCCTCCTAACCATTAGGCTCATTTTCAGGGTATCAAGGCAAGAACACCCTAGCTGAAGCCTCTGGCAATGTCCTAAGCTTCACGTTGAGAATTAGTGGTGATCCCCTGCAGTTGTTTTTAAAAAGATACAGGAAAAATGAGGGGTGGGAATAATTTTCACAAGTCATCTGCTGGTTTCCTAAGCTTAAGAATGTCAATTTGACATTTAAGGGCTGTAGCTCAGCAGAAGTGCAACTGCTTTGCATGCAGACGGTCCCAGGTTTGATCCCTCGCAACTCCAGGTACGGTTGGGAGATACGACCTGTCTGAAGCTCTGGATAATACCTGCTAGTCAGAATCAGTGATGCTAAGCTGCATGGATCAGTATAAGGCAACTTCCTATGTTCCTATATCTTAAAGGAAGGGCTGAGCTCAGTGGTCGAACTTTGAATGCAGAAAGTCCCCAGTTCAGTTCCTGACATCCCCAAGGAGGGTTGGGAAAGACCCCGTCTGAAACCCTGGAAAGCTGCTGCCAGTCAGTGTAGACAATACTGAGCTAGATGGATCAACAGCATGACTTGGTTTAAACACTTTACTATGTTCCCATGAAAGGCTGAGTCAATAATTTGGGGACTACCTGGGAAAAGATCATACATTTCTACTGGGAAAGACCTCCTGCCTGGTACCCCAAAGAGCTGCTGCCACCTAGTGTTGGCAGCACTGAGCTGAATGGACCGTTGTCCTATGTTCCTACGCTGCAGTGGGACATCTGAAGTGAGGCCTCTGAGAACGCTAGGCTTTTACTTCTGATAATAGCTAGCCTCAGAATCTTCAAATTCAACAGGGCCTTGGGGCATATGCAGAGTGCCATCTCAGTCAGAGATTCTTTAGCATTGCAGGGGGTTGGACTAGATGACGCTTCCTGTTCTAGGTAAAGGTACCCCTGACCATTAGGTCCAGTCATGACCGACTCTGGGGTTGTGCGCTCATCTGACTCTATAGGGCGAGGGAGCTGGCGTTTGTCCACAGACATGTGGCCAGCATGACAAAGCCGCTTCTGGCGAACCAGAGCAGCACACGGAAACGCCGTTTACCTTCCCACCGGAGCGATACCTACTTGCACTTTTACGTGCTTTTGAACTGCTAGGTTGGCAGGAGCAGGGACTGAGCAACGGGAGCTCACCCCGTTGCGGGGATTTGAACTGCCAACCTTCCGATCGGCAAGTCCTAGGCTCTGTGGCTTAACCCACAGCGCCACCTGCGTCCCATGGTTCTATGAACTCCCCTGGACTACAATAAAAGAGCTATCAACCCAGGCAGTCCAAAACCTCAAACCCTAAGAAATATGAAAACTCTGTTCCAAACTTACCGGCAAGAGTTGACGAGCAACAAGGTCTCCCTTCCTGTTGACCATCAATGGTGGATTGTGCTAGTTCCACACACAGCCAGAGCATCGCCAAGCAAAGCCAGCGGCCGTCTAATCTGGGGTGAGACTTGGCTTCCATTTCCTTCAGTCACCTCTTCACTTCCTCTGCTGGGAATGGAGGCTCACAGTTCTCCCACAACTAACCCTCTGGTGCACTGGCTGGGAACGCTGTGCCTGTTAAGGTCTCTCACCTCTTCTTCCCCTCTGTCTCCCTCTCTCGTCTTTCGACACATTTTTGTAGCAAAGAGCAGCCCACGTGTTTTCTGTGGAACGAAAGCCATGTCATTTCCTGTCTGGTGTGTCCGTATGGCCCTCTCTTATGATCACAGCTCTTAACAGGAAGCACTGAGGCGAGAGACATGAAGGGGAATCTGAGCCCAGCAAGAAGCTCTCTCTCTCTCTCTCTCTCTCTCTCTCTCTCTCTCTCTATCTCTCAATCTCTCCTGGCAATGAGTCCTTCACAAAGCTCATAGCTAAACTGCGGCACTCTCGCACACAGGAGATAAGAGACAGCCACCCAATTTGAATGGCTTTAAAGCAGGATTAGATGTGGAGAAGACTATTGAATGGGACTAGTGATTCAAGATGCTTCTGAACGCCAATTGCTAGAAATCACGTGGGGAGAGATGCTGTTGAGCTCAGGCCCTGAAGAAGTGTCTCCACCCCCATCGTTCAGTCCGGACACTGAGATCCAGCGCCGAGGTCCTTCTGGCGGTTCCCTCAGTGCGAGAAGTGAGGTTACAGGGAACCAGACAGAGGGCCTTCTCGGTAGTGGTGCCCACCCTGTGGAACATCCTCCCGTCAGATGTGAAGGAAATAAGCAGCTATCCTATCTTTAAAAGACATCTGAAGGCAGCCCTGTTTAGGGAAGTTTTTAATATTTAATGCTATGTTGTTTTTAACACTTGATTGGAAGCCGCCCAGAGTGGCTGGGGAAACTCAGTCAGATGGGCGGGGTATAAATAAATTATTATTATTATTATTATTCAGAAGCATCCAGTTGGCTGCTGTGAGGTTGCTGGACGAGATGAGCCTTTTGGCCTGATCCTGCTTCAGAACTCTCCTTACGTTCAAAGAGCAGCAGGCATCATTCGAGCGATATAGAAAAAGGCAGCTGTAGCCTAATAAAGGACACAATCCTCTGATCTAGTGTTTCCCAAACTTGGGTCTCCAGTGGTTTTTTGGGACTACAACTCCCACCATCCCTAGCTATAAGGACCAGTGGTCAAGGATGATGGGAATTGTAGTCCAAAAACAGCTGGAGACCCAAGTTTGGGAAACAGTGATTGACGAACTCAGTGGCATGTCTCAGATGCTCAGCGCCGCTTTCCTGCCTCCGTGAGTCTTCAGCAGGAGATGTTTACTGAAAGTCAGCACAGGAGGGGCAACACCAACGAGTCGTGGCTAGGAAAGGCAGCTGAGCAAGGGCAGGGAACTCTGCTTGAATGGTCCTGGAACCACAGGGAAATTCTGATGTTTTGAGGGAGGAAGCTCTGCACCTCGGGAGTAGAGTATCTGCTTTGCATGCAGGAAGTCCCAAATTCAATTCCCGGCATCTTGAGGTGGGGCTGGGAAAGACCCTGAAGAGTTGCTGCCAGTCAGTGTAGACTATACTGAGAGAGATGAGCCAACAGTCAGATCCACTTAAGAAGGAGGCTTCTTAAGTTTCTGCGTCTCAAGGATAGAGCATCTGCTTTGCATGCAGAAGGTTCAATCCCCAGCATCTCCAGGCAGGGCTGGGAGATGCCCCCTATCTGAATCCCCAGGCAGCTGCTGCCAGTCAGTGTAGGCAGTACTGAACTGGGTGGACCACTGGTCTGGCTCAGGTTAAGGCAGCTCTCTATGTTCCTATCCATTGCTTCAGTCACTTTTGCCTCTGTCCCCATCTGCTACTGGCATGCGGCCCCCAGAAAATTATCTTTGGTCATTTATCAATTCGGGAAAATGTTTTCTAGAGGACAGGAGAATATCTTGCTCCGCTTTTCGTCGACAGCATGGATTTATCTTATTATTAATAGATATGGATCTGCAAACTAAGCTTTCGAGCAAGTTATCTGGGAAAATTCTGAAGCGTCAGTGTCTGGGACCACCTCTGTTACACTTTTGCCATTTGTAATGCCAGAAAGATTTTTCAAGGAAGTTTCCCCCAGATGAAACTGATCACAACTGGACATGGGTGATGTCTTTTGGCCGTCATTTCGACTCATTTGTGCTCAGCGACAAGGTAGGCACCTCATAAGACAGCAGAGGTTTATGATTAGAGTTTTGCTTTTCCTACATGGGGTACCTTCCCAGTGTTACGGAAAAATTCTGGGTGCAGGTTTACTCCGCTGCCCAGCTCATTGAGGTGCCACTCCCCACGGGTCTCTCCTGGTCAGCAAAAGAAGAAATCTCCAGCCAAGTTAAAGAAGCAAGCACCGGTCAGTAGACCTGATCTTTATTTGTTGCAACACAAAGAGTAGGAACCCAGAGCATGGGGTTGCATGGACTTGTAAGACCTTCCCATCCCCCTTCCCATAATACATTTCCAGATACATCATCAATACATCACCAACAAGCCACTAAGAAGGAGGGGATATTGCACAGTAACATGAGCCCATTGTTCATCCCTGTTATCAGATTCAACTCCTGAACACCTTCTAAGTACCTACCACCAAGAGAACATTAAAACTGTTTACACCGATCCTCGGCCTCTGGGCTTTCCTGAAGATGGGCTTTGGGAATACCTGGCTTCAGCAAACTCCATCAGGGGATAGTTGCCTGGTCCATTGTTATCTTTTTCCTACTCCCTGTGGAGGGGGGAGGTGTACGTGACTCTATGTATCCCAGGGATTATGGAGGCAGGGGAAGCCCTGGACCCCCCTCTTCCAGAGGCGTCATTAGCCATTGGAACCAAGGAAATGGGTCAAACTGTTGCATTTTGCATTTGATTCTATATTGGATAGATTTTGATTTATGGTGCTGGAGGAGACTCTTGAGAGTCCCATGGACTGCAAGAAGATCAAACCTCTCCATTCTGAAGGAAATCAGCCCTGAGTGCTCACTGGAAGGACAGATCCTGAAGCTGAGACTCCAATACTTTGGCCACCTCATGAGAAGAGAAGACTCCCTGGAAAAGACCTGATGTTGGGAAAGATGGAGGGCACAAGGAGAAGGGGACAACAGAGGACGAGATGGTTGGACAGTGTTCTCGAAGCTACCAGCATGAGTGTGACCAAACTGCAGGAGGCAGTGGAAGACAGAAGTGCCTGGCGTGCTCTGGTCCATGGGGTCACGAAGAGTCGGACATGACTAAACGACTAAACAACAACAATATTGGACAGTCAGGGGGAAACAGTACAATACATGGTATCCACTTATTGCTACCAGTGCCAGATTTACGTATAAGCTAAACAAGCCACATCTTAGGGCCCACTCTCTTGGGGCCCCCCAAAAATTTAAAGGGGGGGACTGGATGTGCATTTCCAATATATAAGATGAGAAACAAATAAAATAAAACCTACCTACAGCAACAGTGTTTTGTAGGCTCCTATGATGTAAATAATGGGTCCCGCCTGCTTCCTAAAATATCATTGGTTTGCTCATTTCTATATACAGGGTGCCTACATTCTGCATGGACTGGTTGCATGGCAAAACGTGTAAATGGCTTTAGATACCTATTAGGTCCATAAATTACCATATAGCATATATATTCAACACACACAAACAGCAATAATTTGTTGTTGACAAAGGACAGCTGGACATATAAAGGGCCCCATTACCTTCAGTAGCTTAGGGCCTCATCAAACCTAAATCCGGCTCTGATTACTACAGTTTTCTGATCTTTGCTGTTGTGCGTGTATGGTGCCTGTGTCAACAGTCATTGTCCTGGCCTTAGTTAGAGGCTGTGGTGGGGACTTGGGAATTTGGGAACTGCCCCCTCTCCCCATTCCTGGTTTTAACACTGGTTTGATGAGCCCCACCCTGCCCCTCACTAGTTCCCTCTACAGCACAGACAGAAACCACCTTATTGACCAATGGACCAGCTATTGGTCTCATCCGCTCAAAGCAGAATTGGCCCAAACCTGAAGAGGAACTCCCAAATGACAAGTTCTATTCTGTTCAAGCCTCAAGGTGTCCTGGGCTCCCCTTTGTTGGAGGCATTTAAGCAGCCAGAGATGCTTGTGGCTGCCTCCTGTGTTGCAAAGACTGGGGTGGGGTTGTACCGGGTGACCTCCATTATCTTTTTCTAGCCCTATGATCCTATGAGTCAAAGGGGGGAGGTTAGATCTGGAAGGGGCAACCACCACCACATCAAACATTTGCGATAAAAAAACAGTAGAGATAATTGATTCAAAGTTTCTTATCAAACCCAGAGCTGCTTAGTTAGGTGAGCTGATCCACATACTTCTCTGCGGTCAATGAGTTTATCAGAAATAAGAATCTTAATATTAAAGCACTTTTTGTACACGTACCAGCTAGGGACTGAGATTTGCAGTTGCCATGCACGTCATTTCAGTGCCAAATGAGTCGTGACTTTTGCGCGCACAGAACTACAAGATGGCTGGTCATTATTAACTTCCAAGATCAGAGAATCCTAGAACTGTAGAGTTGGAAGGGACCACAATATGGTTACCAGACGTCCCCATTTCCCGGGGACAGTCCCCGGATTTACAAATCTGTCCCCGGACAAAATCCGTCCCAAGAATGTCCCCGGATTTCATTTAATGTCCCCGGATTTATATTTTAAGTGTTGTAGGTTTATTAGTAGGGAATGAATGTTGTGTGATTGCTTCAACAGCACAAGAGACATCATATGGGGACTTCCGGCGAGGCAAAATGGCGGGCGCCACAGCAGCGAGCAGCTCCAGAGCCAACTACGCTACCAGGCTGGCTTCGGGCTGCTGAGACTGCTGCTGCCACTACCACTGCTGAGGGGGAACCGGGGACGCCCAGCGCGTCAACTGGGGGAACCACTGACACACACACCCCGCCACGACCCAAATCGAGCTGGGAGCAAGAATGCCCGGCCACTTGGCCGACTGCTCAGCGGCGCTCCAGGGCCAGGAAAACCCCGGAGCCGCTGCAGGGAGAAGGAGGAGAGGAGAAGAAGGAAGAGAGATAAAGAGGAAGGAGAAAAAAGAGGGCAGCCCCAAACTTGCTGTGCTGCTGCGGCTGCTGCTGAGGAGGATAGGAGAGTACCAGGAGGGCAAGGACATGCGGCCGAGCCCAGGCCTTACCCGAGCCTACTCCATGGTGGCTAGTGCTCCAAGAGTGCAGGCCGGGGCCCAGAGGAAGGCCGTGTGACATTACTTATTATTTTTT